GAGGGGTGAAGACTTGGGTTCGTGATTTGTATTCCAAAAGTTGTCCCCCTCGAATACAAAATTGATGTGTTCGAGGATTTTTCGAAATTTCTAAATTTAATACCCTAAAAGCCCTCTGTATACTTCTCGTTGGACCACTCTGTATACTCCAAGACGACTTTAAAGTGCGCACACGAAAACGTACGAAGAGGATTGTCGCTTCGGCAAATCAACGGTTATTTAAAATGAGAATAACACAAAAACATCCCTCTTTATTGTATTGGTGGATGCATCATTATTTGGGATGTTATTATTCAAATGCATGTTTTCCCAAAAAGTTTATTTTTCCCTCTAATTTCCTAAAATAAAACACTGTGTTGTCTTATTTCGTTAAAAATACTACCGATATGAGAAAATGGTACATGGGAGATTTCGTTGGGCGGCTGGGGAGCATCGTCGTCGAGGTCCGTAAGCTCGGTTAAAAATTCGCCGCTCCCAGACGTTTCGAGATATGGAGGGGGGTTCCGATAAAGGGGACAACTTTTCGTGAGATTGAAAAAATCCTCCGGTGTCCGTCCGAGATTCAAACATTGACATTAGTCAAGTTAATTTTTAAATCCTTGAAAATTGGAGATAGTTTGACCTGAATAATGAATTGTGTCATATCAAACCCGAGTATGTGCACATCCGGAGACGACGATTTGAATCGAAATTTTCAAAAAGTCACACCTATACGTATAAAATCGAATTTCAATAGCATGTTTTTAGCACACCAAAACTGAAACTAAATTGTAATTGTTCGAATCTCATAGTGCGTGTTAACCACTAACAAAAGAAAAACATATTAATCATTTTAGATTACTTACCAATCTGAGCGAGGTGAGGCGGCTAAGCCCCCCCCCCAGCCGAGCGTGTGTCCCCGAAATAAAAAAGTGTTATAAAAGATTGACTAAAAACGTATCGATATATTGGTACTTTTTTGAGCCGAATCAAATTCCGGTTCGCGTTTTAGTTTATTCCAACGCCACAACAACTACATTCTCACAGCAATCAAATAATAAAAATATTCTATACGGTAAATCAATATAAAACGGCGTTTGCGAATTAAAATACGGTGATTTCTTTAAATTAGTCTTATACAAAAAAGTGTTTTTCACTAAACAAATTTTTATTTGTAAGGGTTTCCTTACGAATGGTATCTATACCGGATGAATATTCCCAAACCGAACATAGGGAATTAACATGGGAAAAAGGTTTTTTGTTGATAATTGTTCCCCATGAGGGTTTATAATGACACCAAACGAAAGAAAATTTTTTTCCTCGTCTAATGATATACGAATTGGTTCATTTTCAGGTGTATTTCTCATTATTTTATCAAAAATTCGGCAATAAATCCACTTACCAAAATCATGTTAAGCCATGACTATAGTAAAACAAAAAGCAGATTCAAACGTCGAAATCAATAATCAATATCAATTTATGACAACTGACATTAATTTTTTTTGTAAAATACGATTTATTGTACCAAAGACTTTGATTGTACAAAGCAAAGGGATAGAAAATCCAGTATTTTTTTAAAAAAAAGTGTGAAGAAAAACCATGCTTGGTGAATGTTCGGTATTCTGTACAGGCTTTTTGGTCCTCTCTAGTTATTTTAGAGAGTCTTAATTGAAAAATTTCATTAGAATACCTACTAATAATTTTATGATTATAATTTTACAAATTATAACTTAAGGGTGGCATTGATTAGGGGCTGATCAGCCATAAGACATTGTATTTTACGTTACATGCACAATTAAATGATTAAGTGAACAATTTTCACCCCATTGCATTACCTTCAGTACGCAACACACCCCATGGACTCGTATTTTATAATAGGGCAGTTCGAAATACGACACAAAACCAGACCGCACACTTCTAAGATAGAATTTGAACTGATTTGGGTACCGAAAGAATGCAGGTGTAGTAAAGTAACGGCCGATAACGTAAACACGTGTACATATGGTCCGATCGTTCGTTATCTGCTTTGTCCACGTTTACATTCGACAAATTAAAAACCAATTTTTGCCGCCTCTCGCCCCCCCAAAACAAACGGGGTAGGAAAACGATGGTAGATTTTTTGGCCTCAATTTTTTGTGAAGAGTTGAATTAACAACCCTTATAAGATTGATTATGCGCGTTCTTTGCATTTTTATACCGGAATTACTGTCTAACAACAAAATTGGAACCCTGAAAAATGTGCTTCTATATTGCCGCAATTGCCATGAAAAACAAAAAAAAAACGAAAACAATTGACTACAGATACGCAGATAAAAATTGCCTTTTTTTGCATGGCCACCTCGTTATTATGGAAATTACATATAATTATTTACTTATTTAAGATTAGAATATTAGTCCAGGCTATATAATATTTTTGTATGAAAAAAATTAGTTACCGGGCGAAACCGGGTTTTTCAGGCAGGTGGAATGAATAGAAATTGGGAAAAACTAATTAAAACAGCTGAATTTTTCCGCGGGTGAAATCACGGGGGTTGAAAGGGGTGGAAAGTGGTATTTTGCAAATTGTGGTAAAACTATTAAATATATTAATTATTAAATTATTAACCTCCAATTTTCCTAGAAACACCGGAAAACTGTTTTTTTCGTTTTTTATTCTTATTTTTGCGAAAAAATGTCGTGGGGGTTTGAAATTTGGAGGTAACATAGCCTGTTTTATGATAAAACAGAAGATAATTGTTTGGGCCCATAAAGTTGAACCGTTTCCAAGATTTCACGGTTTCTGAAAAAATCCACCTCTTTTTCAAGGGGACGAAAAATCTATTTTTTTTCATCGTACAGAGGTGCGCGGGGTAGCAAAATTTTTGTGAAGACTTATATTTTAATAAACAAAAATAAAAAAATATTATTCCTATAGCAAAAATTCGAGCAAATCGCCAAAAACCGGAAAAACAGTTTTAAGATATACACGGTTTTTGACATGATAAATCAACATGTTGGATGTTAATAAAGATTTTTTCGAAATCTGTCTTCTTCCTTCTCTTTAATGTTTGCCTAAATATTCTCTTTCCTTATCTTATGCTCAACTGTTTTAGTTAAAACATCTTTATTATTTCTTTTTTCTGCATTTTTACCGCAATAAAAGCAATTCGAAATAAAATCGAATTATGTATCTTGCTTCCTGATTCTTGAACAATTTATTTTTGTTCACTGACTCTTCTTCCTGCTTGTTTTATAGCTGATGCAATTGCGTTGGGCCTGTTGCTAAACTTGCCAAATCTGCAATAAGAACGTTGGTTTTACCGGCCAAAGCAAATGATTTGAGATGTCAAACCTGCAGGAATAAACTTTATGATGAGTTTATTCATAATTCCTGTAAATTAACGATCAACAGGCCCAGCTTAATCCCATCAGCTGTAAAACAGGCAGGAAGAAGAGTTAGTGAACAAAAACATATTGTTCAGGAAGCAAAAGAATTCGATTTTACTTCGAATTGCAGTAAAAATGGCAGAAAAAAGAATAATAAAGATGTTTTAATTAGGGCAGTTGGGCACTGATGGGAAACAAAAGAAAATATTTTAGCAACATTAAAGAGGAGAGAGAAGATAGATTTCCAAAACTTTTTATTAGCGCGGATCCAACACGTTAATTTATTTGCAAAAAAGCCTATTTACCTACTGTCAAAAACGGTGTATCTTAAAACTGTTCCCCCCGTTTTTGCCGCTTTTCTTGAAATTTTTCTATTGGACTAATATTTTTTATTTTTGATTATTAAAATGTAGGTCGTTACGAAAATTTTGCTACCCCGCGCACCTCTGTACGATGAAAAAAATAGATTTTTCATCCCCTTGAAAAAGAGGTGATTTTTTACAGAACTCGTGAGATCTTGGCAACGGTTCAACTTTAAAGGCTCAAAGAATTATCTTCTGTTTTATCATAAAACAGGTTATGTTACCTCCAAATTTCAAACCCCTACGACATTTTTTCGCAAAAATAAGAATAAAAAACGAAAAAAACAGTTTTTCCGGTTTTTCTAGGAAAATTGGAGATTATGTGAAAATAGTGCAGATACAAAAGTTGCTCATTTTTACATTTTTACATTTAGCATTTTCGTCTAAAATCAATAATTTTGCCACAATTTGCAAAATACCACTTTCCACCCCTTTCAACCCCCGTGATTTCACCCGCGGAAAAATTCAGCTGTTTTAATTATTTTTTCCCAATTTCTAGTCATTTCACCTGCCTGAAAAACCCGGTTTCGCCCAGTAACTAATTTTTTTTGAAAATAAATCATTTTAGAGCTATTTAGCCTGGACTATATCAGAACCGGGAAAACCAAGATATTTTGAAAAATATCAAAGATAGGTATAGGACATTATTATCAAAAGTTGAAGGTTTTTGGAAGAGCTAAAAGATGACATAAGGAGGCATTTAAACCGTGACGTCATTATTCCATAATGTGGTTTTGACTGTGTGGCGTCATCTTCGGCCATCTTCGGAAAAATGGCTTGTTACTTTTGCTTTCTGCTTTCAGACGGGTTATCGACAGTATTCGCGACTTTTCCGTCACCTACCGAAGACAGTATAAAGTCCGGTACAATCGTCATTTGATCCGACACCGTTATCTTTTCTGCTCGAACGAAAAGTAGCTATATACCCATATACGCCGATAGACCTACGAAACCATAAACATTTCAGAGCTATTTCATGCCTACTTTATGTCAAGAAATTTTAGTTTCCGTACGAGAGGCTGGTTAGACTGCTCTTCCTACCGCATGTCATACCCGCATAATGCTACTTCCCTTACGAACTAGGAAAACTGCAGGAAAACCTAATTCGGGGTAGCGGGCAGAATGCTCGAAACTACAAAGCCGCAATGCCATCAATGGCATTAATCAAAAGTTCTATATGAAATTTAATTAATAATCAACTTATATTATTATAGTAAATTATGTTCTTCAGTAAGATAAAAATGTAAGTTGTATAACTGAGAAAGTATACACCTGTCAAAATTCTCCTGTTTTTTAATCTTTATTTTTAACAGAATGTATAAAATAGTTCCGTTTCCTTCTACAAGAACAGTCGCACCGTAGAGTCTTCGAAGTGGCCTTAATGCTTTTCAAAACTTTTTTTAACAGCTTTAGAGCTTTCAGTATGTCGTTTAATTGACGAGTGAGTGCATTTTCCGAACGTTGTTTGCTGATTGGCTCAAAAGTTTCGATCCGCGAGTCCTCTTCAGTACCTGCCGCGATAATGTAATTGGCAGCGTACTCCATTTGTAAAAGACGGTAATCGCTGACAATTTGTGAACCATGGTCTTGCTGGTCGATGAATCCAAGCATTTTGTTATCGTCGACTTCATCTTTGGTCACAAGGTAGTAGAGCAAATTGGCTATCAGGTCGATGCTGCGTTCTCCACCAACGCGTTTGGCAATGAGACTTTGCGTAACAGCTGACATTGCACGTAGCTTTCGTTCAGAAACCGTTACAACATTTGCGTACCGGTGTTGGTCGCTTTTGGGCGTCACTTTGCGCTTCTCTTCGTCATCTCCAGCCTCAAGCCTAAAATTCCCGATGTATCGATGTATTACGGCGTTGTAGTATCTACACTCGCCGGTAAAGAACTCTGCAACATCGCGCGAATGGTGTAAATTGGAGAAGTGGCTGGTACTATCGGAGTAGCAAAGCACTAACAGGGAAACGTACATCGTGTAAACCATCAGCATTATAAATATGAATGACGAGTAATAAATCATGGCAAGAAAGCCGCCGACCTCGACAAAGTGCAAAAAGTCGAAGTCTTCGTATAGATCCATCGAAAGCAACGCCAGAGTTCGAAAAGTAGAAAAAAACGTATGGAAATCATCCAGTCGCGATCCAAAAAGGCTAGTCCCCAAAATCGTGTACATCGCAATGAATATGCAATGACAAACCCATAAGCCCAACAAGAAGATCGCCGACATTTCAAACGTCCTCTCCACTACACGAAATCCTGCTATAAACCTTAGGAATTTCCACAACCTCACAGTTGCGACAAAAATTAGAGCTGCCCCAAGCACCGTCAGGAAACGCTCCATGCTCACCAAATGGAAGTAACCCAAAAACTGATTGTTTCTCGCCCGTTCCAGCTGATAGAGAAACTGCCCCACCAAGTCAGACCGATGGTAGTAAATCCCAACGCACAGCAAACTCATGGCGATTATGGCGACGTCTACAATATTCCACGTACTTCGAATGTAGCTGGACCAACGTCTCTTGGCGATGATCAAATTTTTCGTTAGCATAATCATCGTCACGATAATAAAAGCCGCACATTCGACTGCGATCATTAGTTCGAATTCTTGCTTTACAAAGAGTAACCGAACGGTTAAGATCTAAACGGAATTTAAATCAGTGCACGTATTATACAGAGTGGCTAATAAAGATGGAACCAAAGCGCTGGTGTGACAACGGTTTTATTGTCCAGTCAAATTACGGGGTGGGCTGAATATTCAACGAAGAAAAAAACCCGCTGAATCCGAAAATTTTGGTTCCCCTAGCCGGAAACTCCCGGAACATATTGTTATTAACAAAAAACGAAGAAAAAATGGCAAAATGTCGTTTCTTTTCGCATTTGACTTCAATTGTCTCGTTAATTATTGCCACATCGACCGATACGGAATATTTGCCGATATTGCTATACCCGAAAGCCCCCGAAAAAAATATCGGCGTATCGGCCATTTTCTAAAAATTTAATATTTAATTTTATTCGCGGTTAGATTCGCGGGATCAATCAAGGTCAATTGGACGAGGGTGTTTTCGAGGGATAATTTAATTATTTCCTGGAATTTCTTGGACTGTGGACTTTGATTTGATAAATTAATTGAATATTGGTACGAATTTGAGCTTTATGGACATTTGATTAATTCATGACGTCATCAATTAAATTGATTACAACGTAATTAGGTTAATCCGCAGATCGATTAATTTAATTAGTGGTTTGATTTCTAAGAATCACCTCTAAATAGTTTGATTCATGGATTTGATTTGTAGTTTAATTATTTAATTAGCGGTCCAATTAATTTTATTAATGGATTGATTAATTTAATTCGCGGATTGAGTAATTAAATAATTAAACTACGAATTAAATTAATTAATCTGCGAATCAAACTAACCAGAGACAATTCCAGTTTTTTCCGATGATCCCGTCTTGTCGCCACCCCATAATTATTTGGATGTATCAGCCATTGGCGGCCGATACATCCATATCGGCCACGCGACCGATATTTATATCGGTATCGGTCGATCCGATCCCTAGTACTATATGTTAGAGTTGACTTTTTTTAATGATGCCGTGGGGCCCGTGTGTTACCCCAGAGCCCGCAAGTGACTTGTTACGTCCCTGGTTGAGTTGAAAGAGGATGTAATACAATTTGTAATAAACTAAAATTGATAGGTAAAAATGTAATGGAACTCAAAAAAAGATAACAATTTTTGTTTTCGCACAATTTCGCTCTAATAAATTGGTTAGTTTTGCGTAACCGCATTTTTCCCATTGCATATTCGTAATGAAGGTAACATAAGCTTTCCAACGATATGCTGCAAGACCTATGTTGCCATTTAAAAAAAACAAAATGGCGGCCATGTCAAAAAACCATACGGGACAAAAATTTTCTCTTCATGCTAGAATATGCACAAACACATCTTATCTGAAGTGAAACGAAGTATGTAAAGTTGCCTAACTTGTTCCGAAATATAGCAAGTAAAAAGAGAAGAATTAATTTGTCTCATTCTACCATACTTATCTTTGTTGTTTCTTTAATTACTTTTCAATGGAATTTAATTATAAATCCCATGATCCTTGCTTAATGAGGTTTCGATTGATATTAATAAATACACAACTTCTTTATTTATTGCATATGAGCCTTTTTGATGTTTATGCAAGGGAATAATAAGTATTATTATTCGATTTATTCTTAGGGGAATTTTTCGGAAGAAAAAATCCTCTTTAGCCCGTCCTCATCTGACTCGAGAACGAAAAAAGATGCCATAGCTTGGCCAATCGATTTCTACGAGTTCAGTGGAATATGAGCCGGATAAAAAGTCGGGTTTCTTGAAAATAGTATGCGACTCTTCGTACGTTGTATGTCGTTCGGAATGAAGTCCTGATAATTTAAACCTGACAATGTTAAAAACACTAAAGGAAGGTATGAACTTTCAATGCAAACAGAGCTGGGCAGTATTCGATTTTGTAAATACTTTTTAGTATTTAAATCTTTTAAAGTATTCAAATACTTTGTAATTAAATACTTTTATGGAAGCAGTATTTGTTTTTGTAACTCAAATACTTTCAGAAATATTTAGTATTCGAATACTTCACAAGGTATTTGAATACTTTAAGAAGTATTCGAATACTTCGCATAGTGTTTGAATACTTAACCTTCCTTTTTTTACCAAAAATCGACTGCACCAAAATTTCTCTGGGAAACACTTTTTCTTATTAATTTTGGGGCGTAGAATCCAAAACAATTCGTACTTTTTCGATCAGACTTCTCAATCAAAAGTTATAGACTAGAAACCAATTTCGAAAGAAAATTCAAAGGGCTGTACCTTTTGAACTAGTAGCCCAATCTTGGAACTGTTTGAAATTATGGATTCTACAGGCCACATTCTATAAGAAAATTTTTTTTCCGGGTTGATCTGAGACAATTTTTTTTTCGGGGCTCAAAAAAAGGCAGTGTATAACCTTCCTTTTTTACCAAAAATTGACTACACCAAAATTTCTCGGGAAAACACTTTTTCTTATTAATGTTGGTGCGTAGAATCCAAAACAATTCATACTTTTTCGATCAGATTTCTCAATCAAAAGTTATAGACTAGAAACCAATTTCGATAGAAAATTCAAAGGGCTGTAACTTTTGAACTAGTAGCCCAATCTTGGAACCGTTTGAAATTATGGATTCTACAGGCCACATTCTATAAGAAAATTTTGTTTCCGGGTCGATCTGAGACAATTTTTTTTGCGGGCCTCAAAAAAAGGCAGTGTATAACCTTCCTTTTTTTTACCAAAAATCGACTACACCAAAATTTGTCGGGAAAACACTTTTTCTTGTTAATTCTGATGCGTAGAATCCGAAACAATTCGTACGTTTTCGATTAGACCTCTCAATAAAAATTTATGGAAAAAAAAATTTCGAAAAAAAATTCAAAGGGCTGTAACTTTTGTTTGAATCTTATTTTTTAAAGTATTTGAATACTTTTCAATGTATCTGTATCTAGTATTCACTTGTGCTGGACGTAAAAGTATTTAGTATTCAAATACCTTTGATTTGTTCAAAGCATTTACTATTTAGTATTCAAATACTTTTTGAAAGTGTTCTGCCCAGCTCTGAATGCAAATTATAAAAAATTGCTGACAAATGTATTCGGCTCATACGTCGGTCGGTTTATGACATAGATTTTATACAGGGTGTTCTTAAATATGCGTCCACAAACGCTTCGTTACCGATCTACAGGTTGTTAAAATTTCAAGATTTTTTTAAGTTTTTCTTTATATCTCCTGCAGTTTTTGAGATACTTCGTTCAAGTTTTAAATATAAGTTACGATTAAGGGCTTACATAATTGTTCATGTCAATGGTAGTGAAAAATCTACAGGGTGTTGTGTTTTCAGGGGTCATTTTTCATTTTTTTACTTCTGAGCCCTTTTTCGATAAAAGATGAAAAAAGAACTATTCGTACGAATAATGCGTTTTATTAGCAGATGATAAATCGCCAAAAACAATGTAGATTTGCAAATAGATCTCCTAGTAGATCTCCATTAATTCGTTTTATCAACGGCTTTAATTATATCCAAAATTGTGGTAAATGTCGAAAATCAAAATAAAAATCTATACTATATTTCCTACAATACCCAACATCGACCCAGTTTTCAAAGCAACTGTAAGACCGTAATCTTTTTTAAAATATTTTGTCCTTTTATACGTCATTTCAGATTCATTTCATAGGCTAAAACTTTCAAACCGATATCTCACACCAGCGCTTTGGTTCCATCTTTATTAGTCACTCTGTATATTTCAACTTACTTGGGAGGATGTGGTTATGAGACCAGTAGCACTACTTTCCACGATCAACGTGACAACGTGAAATACATTATAATTAGCGTTGTATGCCAAAAACTCGATAATACCCGCTCTGGTACTGCGTGTGACCCATTGGGTATCTTCAAGATAGTGAAGATTATAGTAAGAGTTGTACAAAGTGCGTCCTAATAGCGCCCCATAGCCGCCATTGGGGTACCCACCCATGAAACCTGCAATGAAGGATACCAAATGTGGGTATATCGCCCGATGGTGAATTACCAAACGTGTTCATCCCATCAACCTTGTACCTCCAAGCGTCAGCGAATCTCGGAACCGCAACTTGAGTAAGCGGCTCCCAATATTCCGCGTACCCGAGTACGTCATTGTGACCTTGGGCGTACTCGGGTAAGCACAACAACTCGGCTTGAAAATGGGACGAAAATATGCAATCCTCGCTCACTCTCACTTGCCGCAGTCGCGCGACCCCCAAAATTTTCGTGTTGAAATCGGCCATCAGACCGGGCTCGTTAGTCGTCCACGCTCCGTACCAGCGAGTGGAGTGAAGCGTCGGTATCAAACTTTCGTTTACGTACTCGTAAATGCTGGAACGGAACAATTTTGGTTTGATTTAAAGCAGATGGCCTACTCATCGATCTCCTTAATGTCCTCGAAATCTTCCGAAACCATCAAATTTTTTATGGATTCATTGCCATAGACAATCCGAGTGTCCCGATTGGCTAATACAACGAGGTAAAGCAGCACAATGTAGACAATGAACATGAAAAGGTCCTGCAGCAGTGTTGCCAGTCTATAGCGTTCCATTTCCACTTCGCGCTTTGCCTAAAGACGAAAATAAGCGCGAGATTGAAAGAATACCCCCCACCTTCCATTCCTCGACGGTTAAGGCTCGGTATTTCGTAGTAAAGTACGGACGTAAAAGTGAAGGTCCAAACTTTTCGTTCAGCTTGTGCTTTTGTCGTTGGGCCTCCGCCAGAACTTCGCGGAGATCAATTGGAGTTTCCTATGGTGCGGTGCACTAACGAATGTTCTTTTGTACTGGCTTACCTGAGATTGCGCCCGGTTTAACAATCCGTAAAGGGTCTCCAACAGTACGACTTGGACTAGCGATGATAGTGTAGAGGTCATCCACATTAGCGCCGTTACATTCGAATTTCCGAACCCAAACAGTATGAGATAGGCAAGATTAATTAGAATCGTTGCTATCAGCCCTATCCTGTTAATCGTTTAAAGCTGTACGTGTAGCATATTCTTCCCTTACCAAGTCAGCAGATAGTGCTCGCTATTGCTGAAGAACGTAAAAAATACGCGATTAATACCAAATGAGGCTAAAGCACTTAAAATGGCTAGTGCAAGTAGCTCGGGCTTGTAGGAGAAGTGACCTTGTCCAAGACCGTACAACAACCTCAGCGATGGTCGATTGTGTAGAAGAAGACTAAATGATGATGTAGTCAAAACAGTCGATAATACCACCGTTATGCGTTCTTGATAACCCAGTTTGCCAATTGTGCTAGAAACGGGTAAAAAGTACGTCTTACAACTTGTTGACTTACGTTTGAGTCACATTCCAAGCGTGTTGATTGATAAAAGTAACCCATCCCGTCTTCCGCACCTTTGACGAAGGACTAACAGCGACACGACAGTAGCCGTCATCCGTAACGGCTAACAGTGCCTGTACGTCAAAGAACCAATCCTGTCCGGTTGTCACATCAAGGATTTTGACCCACTCGCAGTACCTACGCCTAGATTATGACCCCTAGAGGAAGTTACCGGTACTTACCACGAAGGCCGCTGGCCCACCGAGTCAAACCACAGCCAAATATAATCGATCTCCCCCAAACATTTCCCACTGGTTAAGACGAACCAGTCCTCACCGCCTCTTTGCAGAAGCTTCTCGTTGGGATCTGGATAATTCAGCAAATGCGCCTTGCGCAAAATTGATTAAACCGGCCCATTTCGGTAAATTGGTCTTACCTTACTGCACTCTTCCAACCCATAAATTACGAGCCCGATGTTTGACGAGGTACCCGAGAAGAATTGCGATCCGGTTTTTACAATAACCAAATACGCGTATCCTTCTTCAACGTTATCTGGCAGAAATAGAACCTGTAATATCATAATGGAAACTAACGGAGACGAAACACGAAAGCAACCTGTCGATCTGTGTATGCCGGAACTTTCAGGCCACACATCAAAGCGGTGCAGTAGAGCAGAAAAATTATCAGAACCCATATGAAGATTAGGTTGTTGACTTGGGCTTGCAGTACAAATTTAACCTCGTAATAGGGGTCGAACTTGTGACGTGGATTAAGGTAACTTCCGGCGTAGGAGGAGTGGTGCGTGCAGAAACAGTGGATTTGATCCTTATTTGTCAGTTCGCCGGTCTGTAAGAAGAAAGTGATCGGTGTCAAGTTAGCCCCCCCCCCCCCCCCCACCACTTTAGGAATTTTCAGAATATTTTTATTGCAATCGTTTGTTGGTCGTTTGTCGGTGTTTGTTGGTTGGAATTATTCAAAACTCAAATGTAATAAAGACTTAGGTACGGTTCAATATTGTACATGTTCCTACCTTTACTCAGATTTCTTAGTTTTAGGTCATTTGGTGTGCATTATTGTACCTATCCTTTTGTTTATATATGTATAGCTAGGGCTCCCCTGTAGACCCGTCCCTCTACGTCCGCGGCGGTAACCGACGCTTACCTACGGCCCAACACGCGCCCCGCCTGTCCCGTCCTTCATCTAAACCTAATTAGAAAACGGCGATCCTTGCGAAAACGTAGTTCTATAACAAGATACTGATTCGCTGACATTATTTTCGGCCCGATATACTTGCTCAATATAATGTTAGTACGCAACTGAAGGTCACGGCCTTTTTTGAGGTTACTCAAGTTTCTCGACGGAATCGAGTAGTCCATGAAACGTTGAGGGTTCATACGGTGAAAATTTGATTGATACACTTCTTCACCCTTAAATTTGCAAAGAAACCCTTAAATCATGCACCGATGACGTCATCAGTAAAGCGTTTTGCGATTTTGAGTTAAATAGGGCGCGGACACGTCCCTGAGGGCTTAAACATTCTAAAATTTCCATCCGCATGTGTTGGAAGCCTTTTGTCGCCACGAAAGGGCGTATTTTCCTTAAAATGAGAATTTTCCGCCATTTTAAAAAAACTAAACGTCAACTGATGGACGAGTCCATTTCAAGATAAACAAAGGGGCGTCCTAGGTCAGGACTTGATTTTGACGAAACAAATATGAAAAATTTAACGCGAGTAGTTGTCAAAATTGTGTTTTTAGAGCTTTGCGGTCATCAAGAGTACGCCCAAATTGTTGAATTTTGAATAATTAAATCAACCAAAAAACGTCAAAATGTAACTAACACCAACAAATTACTAACAAACGATTGAAATAAAAATATTCTGAAAATTCCAAAAGTAGGGGGCTAATTTGACACCGGTAGATAGTGCCCATAACACGGAAGATCACCTGGCAATCTGATGAAATCCACTCTTCAAAGTTATCGCTCCAGTAATGGCAAATTGGAGTGGTGAAAGATATTTCGTACGCCAAGGATACATTAGCCATTCCGTCCTAAGGCAAAGTGAGCGCGTGCGAGCAAAGCAAAGTCTTACCTCCAGCATTTGGTTGTTGGGAAGGACGCCTATGTAGAACCAAGCGTCGCCAAAATCCCTGAGGTCTGTAGGATAAAGGAATAATGCCCAAGGAGTAGTTTTATTTATTGTGACTTTGTTGGAGAAGTCTGCGAGGTTTGGCCTTCTGTTGTAAGTGAAAGCAATCTAAAAATAGAAGGTGAGCGTCTCGCCAATGACGCAAAGAGTCACCAACATCAAAAGTGTTTTCGTGCAGGTTATAAAAATGCACAATCAACGCAGCCCCCTGCTTTACGTCGATGCGATGCACCGCGATGTAGTTGGGCAGCCACTCGTTTGAGGGCGGTACTGTAACTGTTGAGTGGAATATTAATGGATCAGTCCAGTTTGCTTTGAGCAGTAATTGCAGGGGTTTCTCGGTGTTAATGACCTGATGCTTTCCATTGTAGTAGTTGGCGTTTACAACAATCGTGGAGAGGTTTATGGGGTGCCACCAGTAGGGATTTTGCGGATATGCTACGATCTGAGGAAAAAGCGTTTAAGGCGATAAGCCTACTTGGTATTACCACGCCAATGGCTTTAGTTTCATTGGCCAGGCTGGGCGATGCCGCGATAAGAAAACCGGTTTCGTAGTCGCCCACCATTACGTTGGACAGAAGTCTGCCACTACCGGCTAACACGTTAATTGTATTTGGACTGTTTGCCTGATAAATTGGCTCTCCAGGTATTAACGTCAGCCCTACACCAAGCCCTGATAATGACAAGGTGGCGATGGCACATTTTGTTATCTCCTTGTGCTAAAAAGTTGCTACCCCACTGAATTGATAGAGGTATTCCGGCTACTTACGTCTCCTAATTTTTTTAAATAATTCAGGTCTGCGTCGTGGTAAACTGGATAATCCTCCGACATACTCGGATACATGACATCGGGGGTGGTTAATTCAAATACAATATCATCAACAAGCACATCCTCCAACTGGGGACTTAGGCTCTGGTTTGCTACCCACGTCAAGGATCTAAATCGGATGCTGCCGTGGTGGTGAAACATTCGGACAACTTACGGAATGGCGTTAGAAACGTCTAAGTGAAACGTACTCGGATATGGAGCTTCTTGCAAGAGCTTCAACTGATCTTCGGCAATTTTCGCCGATAGTTGCACGGAAACCTTCTCAAATTCCCGATCGTAGGGCGTTTCTATTTCCCATAGGTTTCTACTGACCGCGGCGACCTGAAGAACATCGTTTTGGGTTTTAATGGGTATCTGTAGACAGTGGTTAGTTTAACTTGGAAATGAAATTCGGGCAAGTTCACTTGGCTTAATTCTTGAATTATCTTCTTCTTCAATTCTGTTTTATGCACCACTTCCGATTGTTCAGTTGTCTTCGCTTCCTCAGATGTTATGTAACTAAGTTGAACTGCTTGTTCGATATTTCCGGACGCTTTAATTTGGCTAATGCTCTCATGGTAGCGATCCAGAGTCCCCGCACTGGCCGGGAATACCTTCAAATGAATATATCGGCTAAAGGAGTTGAGTAAGTGAAAGCGCACCTTGACTGATAATTCTTTAACAATGTACAGCCCCTCCGGATCTTCAATTTTAACAAACAGCTTTCTGGCACTACTCGGCAAATGAAGAGAAAAGCTTCCGTCGACATTTTCGCTCAAAGGAACGACAAAACCTGAATCGTTCTGGTACAGCGTGTACCTGACAGGTGCAACGTGCACAACGCCCTCGCACGAAATTTCGAAGAGCGTCTCTAAACAAATGCCATCGCTTGGAGTTACACTGCACTCGCCTTCCATCCGGGGCATATTTGCGATTCTCAGCTCCTCATACGCGTAACTCCTACCATCTAAAGTTGTTAAAATAAATAACAAGCGCAGCGGTTTAAGTCGTACGCCAAACAACAAACTGGTACTCATCCCCTGGCACTAAAACCTCTTTTTTGATGATCAGTTTGCTATTACTACTGAGAGTCTCGCGATCAAAATCGATTTGCACCTTTTTATTGCGCGGACCCGGTGTCATCTTCCACGTGTAGTTTCTTCCGGGACAATCCTCGCAGAAGGCCTCAAGGTAAATTGTCGACCGATAATTGATGGTGTTCCGACAATTTCGTACGCACCTAAAACGCAATTGCGAAATCTTTTGGCGCTACTTTGAGGCACTAACTCTATGTTTATTTGGTATCCTCCGTCTTGCACAATAATCTCTTGCTTCGCCCGAATCCAAGGGCTGTGCTCGGTTGAGACGCTCAAAAATACGGTCAGCCGGTCACCGTCTCGTGCGGCAGGCATTACCATTTCGTTCCCTGAAACGCGCCATTGTAAATTGGGCATTTAACCCGAAGGTTAGTTACTGTGTGACAGCTCTCCTTGTGCGCAGAATTTGTCGTCGGGATTTGTGTGGGACACGCATTCCCATTTGTAATACAATAAAGCTTCTTGGTCCGGGCTCACGTCGTAATTAACAGAGTGTTTTCCGTCAACTCTAAAAGGTTTCCCACTCGGGACCACCCGGACGTTTCCGCCTAGAATTACTGGTACTGGCATTTCAGCTCGGATGTTAATCAGGCACTAGCACAGAGAAGGACGATGTTGTCATTTTAGACTGTCGAGATTTACCTGATCTTGATCTTTTTGCTGATCTTGAGTGTGGGTTACGATCAGGGTGAGGACGTATAATCCAGTACCTAAATCGTAATAGTCCAGAATGAACTGTGACCGATTGTTAAATTCGGTAAAGATCTCCGCGTGGCCGTCTGCGTCGCTTGCTAGCGTTGACAACTTTTCTATCGTCCACGTGTACGCGAGGGGTGACGCTTGACATGCAAGTTGCACCGTCGATGAAATTTGGTACCTTCGATCTCTGCGCCAAATCCACTGAGTGGTGTTTTCAAAATCTCTGTTACTTTAAACGGGGACGTAAAGCAGTAACAAAACATAATTGTTACGTACCAATTGTGTAACACGACTTCTAGGGAACATTCTGATGCACCTTCAATTAAATACTGTAAAGAGATGACAAAGAAAGGAATACGCTTACTGGGTATCACTGGAGGGATGAAACACCCGAGGAGGATGTAGTCTAAGAGAATCATTTCTGTCGTTGCAATGACTTAAGGTAGCTAGATTTAAATTCCAACCTTTTTCCCAAATTCACCTTGTAAATCCTCCTGACCGAGGCCTACGCTTAGACCATATAGGGCCTACGACAACTACTATTTATTTTTTTACTCCGAATCCGTTTAACATAGAGCCACAAAATTTCAATGACAGCTGGTCAATAGTACAGACAATTAAATGATAGTGTTTGTTAATTTTTAGTAACACTGGAAATAGTTAATTTTAAGGTTTAAAGTCTTTGGAAGATAAAACGACGATAGTAACTCCACGTTTTTGTATATTTCCACCGTCATATTTCTATTTCTAGGAACGATATCATTATAATTCTTTCGGTGTCTTAAGCTAGAATGATATGCGCCTCCAATTATGCGTATATAATGCCTTATCTGGTTTTAGTGTAGATTTAACAAGCCCTACAAAATCGCGCATTAATTATCCGCGCAGAGTAAAATTCACCATGCGAGAAAATTTTTTATTGTTAGTACAATTGTCAGGGTTGGCAAAATGAAAAACCCACAGGGTTTTTGTGTCAAAAACCCACCCAACGACCTATACAAAAACCCAACACAAAAACCCATACAAAAGCCCAAAAAATTTGAGACACAAAATGAGACAAAATCGAGATAATTACCCAAAGCATACAAAAACCCAGATTTTTGCCAACCCTGACAATTGTATCACATATATCGAATGAATTGTGACCAAAGAACACAAAAATGTTTTTCAGAAGGAATTTTTAAGAAATGGTCTTTTGTTTCCTTTTTTCAGCAGTTTTAGTCAAAGAATGTTAATTAAGGTGAATTTCGCTTGCATCCAGTTTTGTTTACAGTAATGTTGTTTACGCCTACCTGATGCAATTAAACTGCAGTTTTAAAAATTTTATCGAATTGAATTTTAGAACTGCAGTTTAATTGCATCAGGTAGGCGTAAACAACATTACTGTAAACAAAAGTGGATGCAAGCGAAATTCACCTTAATTACCTAATATTCTTTGACGTAGGCGATACGACCTAGAATCGCTTAACCGTTGCGGTACCGTATTTTGTTCATTCTTATTCTGCACGTCAACAATAACGCGAAGCAGTTTGTTTAATAGAATTGTTTATGTTTAATCGACGACGTGAGGTAAAAAAAGTTAACTATGCATTTAGTGGGGTTAATTACATATCGGAATAGTAATAACGGATCGACTATAGCTTTGCTAATAACTGCTACAATATCGCCGCCTAGCGGAATACAGTTCTCCCTACTAGGTATACAATAACTTTAAAGGGAGGGCCCCCCATGAATTATTTCTTGAGATGCATAACTTTTACATATGACATCCAATTTATGTCAGATTTTGCAGACGCATACCTTTAGTGGTGCCAACTTTTGAAAAAAGGGAGGGGGGGGCATATAGCACAAGTACGTACTGTGTACGTCCATAGAACGTACATTTCCGTACAAACGTACGTGCATCATACGTACAGTCATGTACCACCGCCGTACGCTGTACGTACATGGTACGTTCCTTTGGCACAGCATTGTACCAAACGAGTACGTACACACTGTACGTACAGTGTACGTATTATGTACGTACGTTTGTACGAAAATGTACATTCTGTGGACGTACATGCCAACTCCCTTATTTTCATCCGTTATTGCACGTACAAAGTACATACATATTTTGTACATAGACGAACGTACGTGAAAAATACGAAAAACGTACCACGTACGTAGTGTGCTATATGGGGGGTTAACTCACGTTCTACTCTTCGTGGTATTCTAATGAAAGGTCTCATCGAAATAAATTCGTTTGTACAAAGTATAACTTCTTTCCAGGGCGACTCTTTTTCGAGATCAGTGGATGACGAGACCGGAGGGGGGAGGGGGGTCACATTACCTTCAATTGAATTGAAATATGAGCCTAATATGTATCGGTAAGTGTAAAAGAAATAATAATATATCTAATCTCGATCTGATAATCGAATGCCAAGACTTAGTTTTACATCCCAAACCGTTTTTTCCTTGCTTATCGAAAGAGAACCACCTACCTTTAAATCGGCTGGCCCAAAGCGAAGAAGTACCATTTCATCCACTATCCAGACCGAGCTTGCGACGATTCCATGAATGAAGCTTTCAATTGAAATTCCATTTCCGCATTTGAAGCTTGTAAGACCAAGAAGAACTACGGCAAAAGTAATCAATTATTTAAGGTTAATTTTACCATTTGAATTTTACCTCATAATGTAGGAAACGGTATTATCGGCATTATTGTGACCTTCTGGAATGACATTGGTAGCTTCCTGGGGGTTCATGTTCTCCTGGTCCTCCAGCTTCAGATTTTATGTTCTGTATATACAAAATGGCAAAAAAACAGGGCCGCTTTTTCAGAAACGCGCACCATATCGCATTTTTGAAGTATATAATAATAATGATAATAATAATGGTTTTTTATTGATTAAGAAAAAAATGGTTCCTACACCATAACCAATAGGTTCAGGGTCAGATAAACCAGTAGGTTACCTGTTCTTCCCCCTGTACCCCTAGACCAGGGGTCGGCAACTTATTGAAACGGAAGAGTCAACAGTTACAATATGCAAAATTTTCCAGTTTTTAAAGAGCCACTAAAAATTTTCGAATCAATGCCTACCTGCTATAGTATTTGGTCATATATACAGGGTACTGCAGCCTTCCTAGCTTATACCTGGCAAAAAAGATTTAAAAAAAATCTTGTGTGCAAAATAATGTCAACTATAGATGGTTGCAGATCTACTATTATTTTTGAATGTACAGGGTGTCCCATTTTTACGGTGTCAATAAATACATGCTTTTTTTAAATAGAACATCCTGAATATTTGTACTTCAATGTCATTTGTTCAAAGTACCATAACTATTATTTTTCAAATTTTCAACTACCACTATTTTATTTCGCTATTCGATTGTGTTTTGTGTCCTCTTCAATTTTTACACGAGGTGTGCGCTTAAAGTTCATAATTTTTAGGTTATTCAAGTTTTTTTCTTATGTTTATACATCGGAGTAGGCTATGATAATAAAAAAAGACAAACAAGTGTCACAAATTAGGTAATTATGTGCTGCAAGTGTACTTTCAATTTCGTAATAAAATAAGATCCATTAACATGAATTTTGAAAAAATGAACTAATTTTTTTAGATAAATGCAGAGAGCCGCAACTTTACAATAAAAAGAGCCGCAGGTTGCCGACCCCTGCCCTAGACACACAAAGAATATATTTATACACATAGATTCTACGAAATAAAACAATTAGTAGTTCAATTATGATTGAAAACAAGCACAAATCCACTGAGTAACTACCTACCAACAAAGGAAAGAAAAAAAACAAAACAATAATAAAATTATGTTAAATTTCGCTCTCCGATTAATAATTTATTAATTTTCCGTTTAAAGGCATCTTCGGACAGGAGCAATAACTGATTCAAATTTTGAAGCCATTCCCCCTACGTATGGCATTTCATTAAATTTCAAATGATTCAAATAAGTAAAAGAGGGGTTTTAAACTACGAGCATTCATTTTTTCCGCGCGTAAACACACAGCAACTTTTGGATAGGTGATATCACCGACAAAAGTAATGACCATCGTATGCTTACTGCCACTTAGGCAACCGACCATACACTATCTAAACTGGCAACGTTGATGTGTAACTTTTCCGGCCGGAATTCGTGTGCGATGGGTCCAGAGATATAGATGTGGTCGCAATTTTACGTATTGGTTTTTCCAATTGTTGCAACATTCCTACGACTCCCTCTATATCAAGACAGTGACGAAGAAATTGCTAAGAAGGAACAGGCGCGCCGCGGGCGTCCCATAACAATGGAAATGTTAATAAATACCTTGTTAAGAAGGCTTTTATTGAACTGAACATTCTTACCTTTCCTTGCGTGTTCATTTTCGAAGCAATGTGTTATGCTAAGCAGAACTTATCAATGGCAAAAAACAATGTAGAGGAAAGTCGCCTAATATTGGACAGTTGCCTAATTTTGGATACTGGATTATCTCGAAACCTACTGACAGTTCTCTGTAATTAAGTGGACAAAACTATAGTTTTCCAACACAAAATAATCCTGTGTAGACGGTATAGTTCAGTTGTGCACCACTAGGTGGTACCATAAAATCACATGTTTATTTGTGAATCAGAGTTTTTCGTTTCTCCTGTTAAAATCCGTTATAAAAAGGTAAAAATTAAAAGTATTTAAGTGAAATTTGGCATGCATATACTAGAATATTGTTAAAATGAAAACCAGCATCTGAATTGAACATTCCTGTCAAAGATTTTTTTTATTTTACTCACCAAACATTGAACAGGAAGGTTGCCCAATTTTGGATAGGCAAGGTGTCTTAAAATTGGATATCCAAAAATAGGAATTCAAAAATTCAAACCAAACTAAAAAGGTTTTCAAAAATAAAAAACTAAAGAAAGTGGAAGACGAAGTTGAATCCTCAGACTCATCAAAAGATGTTCCTTATGAAGACGAGTCAAATATGGATCCCGATCAAGAAAGTTGATGCAAAGTATATTTTCTGCACTGGACGTTATTCAGAGGACCAAAACGGAGAAAACTGGATACAGTGTTCCATTTGTTTCAGGTGGTCACATGAAGACTGTGCTGGTAGTGACAAAAGAACTTACGTCTGCAATCTTTGTTTACAAAAATAGGTTCCCAATATTGGATTTGGGATACTTTTTTATTTCAAAAAGTGTCATTTTTTATTTGGGCCTATTTTTTATATCTTTTAAGGGTAAAATAAATGGTTTTGTATGCATCACGTGTTTTTTACAAAAAAATAAATAAAAAAATTTTTTTTCGGTTCAAAAAATTGAATTAAGAAAAAGTATCCAAAATTACGCCCCCTTCCTCTAACGTACACGATCACGATACTAGGCTTAAGCATAACATTCGAACTAAGTACTGTAGGTTGTCAAAAACACAGGATGGTGTAGTCCGCCAATCTCAACTTCTTTACAACAGCCTTCCTAGTAATATAAGATCTCTGCCCATTGGAGCTCTCAAAACATTTCTTTCAAAACATGCTTTTTATTGTCAGGAAGTGTTCATGAAAAACTGTTATGCGATGTAATATGTAAAATTGTACTTTGTTATCCTCCTCTGTTAGTTAGTCTCTGAATGTACGGTTTTGGTCAGAAGTAATGTCCCTCGATTATCTCAAGTGTAGCACATAATTAATATACCGGATCTCCTGTGAGATTTGAGCTTCTTTTCAACATGAGGAAAATGCCTAAGATTGAAATGAAATTGAACTAAATCACGGAGAAACTGACACATTGATACTTTTTCTACACTTGCAGTTTCTAAGGGAGGACATTACTTCTGACCACGACTGTACCTTTGTATTTTGTTTGTAATATTTTTTTTAATGACGACCGTAAGTGTACCCACACGGATAACGGTATAATAAATATTATTATTATTATGGTCGGTGTTTCTTGTGAGAACTCAGGTCTAGCCTGGTTAACTAATCGCACGGATTAAAATCAAGTAACGATTAATATCTGTGTCTGTAGGGTCCTAAAAAATAAAATAAAAATTCACACACGCACATTGGAAATCTAGGGATAGTATGTAACCTCTATATGTTGTCTTATCTGTCTCCAACTTCGTGATCTCCAGATACGTACCAAAAATGAAGCGATTCGCCCCTTCGTCCCATTTCATACGTCTTTTGGAGGTTTCCATTGAGCTGGTCCCATCCACAAGCGGTTGAGAAGCAGGCACAAAGGTCTCTTCTTGGCGGTCCTCTTCAAGTGGTCGTTGTCGTCTTCCGTGGTCTTCTTTCGGCTGTAAAGGTTTCGGGTATCCCGACGAGCGGCCGCCTGTTCACCCAGCGATAGCTGCAGACGTGCCCTGACGCTCCTCGGGTAGCGACATTTTTCCGAGGCTTTGATTAAACTCCATTTTCATAAGAATATGGGGTGACTAGGAACACGTGAAGGCGTCACTCTTCAAGTTATTCGCGTAAGCAAATATCCACCTGCGTGTTGCGTACTATATGTAGGAGAGTCGGGAACATGGGCGTGGGAGTTGGAAAGTAAAGTGGGTAGGTAAGTACTAAGGGTGGTTGGACTTGTCTCCTTTAGTGCCCATTGATCGCCTTTTACGATCTCTAGGGCGAGAGTGGGCCTATTCTATCCCCGAACCCACAGGGGTATTATTATTATTATTATTTATCACCTATTCGATAAGCAGTGTGTTCATATTATGGTTCTTCCATTAAAATCATCATAATATCATCTAAGGGTTTACAAGGCAGTAACGAAAAAAGGCCGAAGCAAAGACGACAATGCGCATCTTCATATATTTTATGTTTTTCGAAATCCCAATGATAGAAATCCTTATCTGGGACACAGTGAAGTGCCTGAAGAACATTAGGTATATATATACCTACTTAAGTTTAAATTTTATAATTTTTTTTCACTAAAACGATTTTTAGGTCAGTTATTAAATAATCAAGAATTGTCTAGGAGTGGGCGCGCGCCCCCTCTTTAAATCCGCGCCTGGCCGTCTGATTTTTTTACCATAGGCCCGGAAATTTTAAAAATAGACAAAAATACATTTAAATTATCTATTCAAAAACCGGGCCTTTAAACTACAATTGCTCTACAGATCTTGCAAGACTCCGTTCATTTTGAACTGCCATTTATTCAGACTTCTCAATCAAAAGTTATAGACTAGAAACCAATTTCGAAAGAAAATTGAAAGGGCTTAACTTTTGAACTAGTAGCCCAATCTTGAAACTGTTTGAAATTATGGATTCTGGAGGCCACGTTCTATAAGAAAAATTTTTTTCCGGGCCGATCTGAGACAATTTTTTTTTCGGGGCAAAAAAAGGCAGTGTATAACCTTCCTTTTTTCCAAAACTCGACTCACCAAAATTTCTCGGGAAAACACTTTTTCTTATTAATTTTGGTGCGTAGAATCCAAAACAATTCGTACTTTTCGATCAGACTTCTCAATCAAAAGTTATAGACTAGAAACCAATTTCGAAAGAAAATTCAAAGGGCTGTAACTTTTGAACTAGTAGCCCAATCTTGAAACTGTTTGAAATTATGGATTCTACAGGCCACGTTCTATTAGAAAAATTTTTTTCCGGGACGATCTGAGACAATTTTTTTTTCGGGGCAAAAAAAAAGGCAGTGTATAACCTTCCTTTTTTCCAAAAATCGCCTGCACTATAAAGGCACTGTAGACAAAAATAAAGTCCCTAGATTAGTACTAGGGACTTTAGACAAAAATATATTGTTCTGACATCTAACGTTAAGTCACTGAAGTGTAGTTTACTCGTAGGAAATTATACTATCAGTGTTTAAGAAAATACCGTGAGATGTCATTATGATATATTTTATGAAATTTGGCGCCAACCGTAATTTTGCTTTATGATGTTACATTTAGGCAGTACATAAACTTCAGCGTTTATAATTGGTTGCTGTATACTTCATCGTTGTTTATTTATTTACAATTGTTTAATGTTCCCAACAATTGATTTGTTCACGCACGAAAAATAGGAATACTCAATTCATATTTTCACATCATAGAAAATCTCTTACTTAATTTACATCATTTTAAATCATCAGTTTATTATATTTTATATTACTGAGTTCAAGTTTTCTTCGCAATAAAAATAATTTAAAATTACCATTTGCGCATTTGTTTATTCACTTTTTCTACTGAAAATTCTGAATGTTCGCTTAGTATTCAACATTTTAAAAATCCGTTATTGTATCACAATATACTACTAGAATAAATACTAATAGAAAAAATCTTTCTTTATAACACGTGTATGTGGTATCGTTGGAAAGATAATGAAGTAACAAATCTAACGAGACATTTTTCAAGAAAATCGAACCGTTTCCAAAATTCTGGAAAATTTCCCGGGAGTTTTATTTTTCCGGAAATTTTGCATATCTTAAGGAACAATTGACATGTATATTGATGGAATATTTACGAAAATCTGATAAGGTTATGGATAAATTATGGGAACAGGAAACGTCAGAAGAAACCATGCTGCAGGAAAAAGAAAGTACGAAAAAATATTCAGGTACGTTTACACAGTTAAAGGTGAGGTATAATTGATTTGTTATCAAACCAGAAGAGGTTAATAGCGATTTCACTAAACGACATAACGCAAAATGAAACTGCCCAAAATCGAATTAAAAAAGTTCGAGCCAATACGAGATTGGCCGACTTTTTGGAGTAATGAAAGAATTTGTTCATTAGTATGCTTCGTTTTCTAGATACAGGGTGTTTTTTTAAAAAATCGGATTTTATTTATTTTTCCCCACCAAAGGAAGGCCCTTATGATGACAAAGAAACCTACCAAATTTTATTTAAATCGGCTGAAAGGTTTTTGAGTGATTGCTAAAAAAACAGAATTTTTTTTAAAACTTACACCCTGTATCTAGAAAACGAAGCAAGTTAGGACAGACGTTTATATGAAAAAAAATTTGCTATTTTTAGCTGGTAAATACGCCCTTAAAATCTTTGTATTCAATTATGAATCACCCTGTACAGGGTCAAATTTCAAGTGAGGGAGAAAAATTGTGTTTGACCCCTTTCTTGTTCCGTTTTTAAGGGTAGATTCCTCCACCTACAGGTTATGGCTAAGCAATGTAATTTTTGATAATTATAAATTCATTAATACTTAGCTGCGAAATTCCATTCCAGTGCTAGTATATCCCTGAACTTAACGAAAACTAATTTTCAGATAAATCATAGTCCTCTCGATCCAAGTTGAGCAGTTGCCGCCACCTGCATTGCAAAGTTATTAAGCGTATATTATTAAAATTTAATTAAAAAATCTATCTATACAATAACACATACAGATTTACAGAACGTAATGATACTACTTATAGTTGTTTATTGATTTAATCGAAAGGTCACAGGTAACAAAAATTGAAAATGTCGACACTTCTACAAGCATTTTTGATTCTTAGTTTAATCAGTTCTTTAAGAATAAAGTTATGTTTTCGTGGGCGAAATAAAACTCCGAAGTAACGCAACAAAATTGTTTACAAGATAAAATTTTACATCTGTAAAGAAAGTAAAATAAATTATGTTAATGCGCATCCCATGAAAAGATGAAAATTACAACAAAAGCGGCGGAGAGGAAATTTTTAGAAAAACATTATCAACAGGTAACCTATTTATCAATTAACACGATTGAAGTCTCTGTTTTTACAAACTTTCACCATTCTTAATTCAACACGTGATTTCTCAAGCACTAAACATAGTTCGTCCTGTCCGGATTTAGGCAAATAACATCAGTTGCTGCTGTAGTTATCCGGATCTGGTGGTATGTGATTGCTTTCGCAGTGGACTATACTGCTCGGCGATCGAAAATCTATGGCGTGCGGGAATAGAACCTGACAGCTGGTCATGAACTGCTCTATTTCCGTATCACATGGTCCAAAGTCTCCATTCTTTAACGATTTCAGTACATTTTTACAAGTCTACAAAATTGAAAACGTTAACTCCCTCGGAAATGGTTAAAATCCAATTGGACTGAGCCATGTACACTTGTGTGTACCAGTTTGACCCAAAAATTTTACTTAGGGAGTTCACTAGAAGCAATTGGATCAAAGTAGTGGTCAAACTGGATCGCAGAGCCAGAACTCGGTAACCTTTAGACGTGCTTACCTTTATATTTACATCCTGATATTTATTGTCAATATTGGTAACAAGTCCAAGAGCTGTACTTTGTAACTTTGAGTTTAAATAATATAACATTTTCGCGCCCTCGAGAACTGCCTCTAAGCTATTACCGTACGTATCCAAATACTCCCTATTTAGCAGTACTACGTCTTTATTTTTAAACAGCACGCCCTTCTCCGATTCGATCACCTCCGTAATGGTCTCGTCCAATGTTGCTTTGTTTTTCGTTAAGAACTCGTGAAAACGTACTAAGCAGGAGTGAAGTTTCGGATTAATCGCATCCAATTTGTGAGCGCGTTTGAGAGATTGGAGCATTAGCAGCACTTTTTCTGCAACGGAAGAAGGAGGGTAGCTATAATTTACTGTCTAAAAGTTACCTTTTTTGAAATAAATTTCAAACGCCATTAAGTGTGTCTCTATCCTATTTTGTGCTAAATTTTGTAGGGGTTGAAGGAACTTGATTGCCTGTTCGAGAGGATCTTCGGCCTGAAGAAAAAACATTTTTCCGTTACAGGCAGGGAGAAAGTTCCACTGAAATACGCCTACCTTGGCCAACTTTTCAGGTACGAGCTCGTCTAAATGAGGCGTGTCGGCTTCCACATCGCCCTGCTGCTTCGCTTTATGGTACTGATCCCTTTTGACTTGCGCCTGGGCAGCTTGAGCGCTTTCCTGTTCCGCTTTTCTCCTCGCTTTTCGTTGTTTATTTCGTAACTTTTTCAATTCGGAGGGCGCTAAATTTTCTGTAACATAAAAAATGTAATGTTAAACACATTGAAAACGAACTCATAAACATTATACATAAAAAGATCATAATCAGAGATGGAAGACACTACCTAAGACGGTTTAAAAGGAGCTAAAAAGCTCTGGAAAGGCGTCATAGCACTTTATGAGGCTTGAATTGCTCTGGAAAACCCTGGGAAAGGTTTTCCAGCACGTTCTAGCGCTTTTTAGGGTCTCAATACGTTTAGAACTCGTTCTAAGGCTAGGTGAATTTAGACAGTCACGCCTGGATTTATAATGCTCTGATAACATTTCCTAGATCGGCTCTAGGAAACTTTGAATTCTAGTGGAAAGCCCCCGAATGCTCTAGAAGAACTCTGGAAACCGTCGTTACGACTTTACAGGAACTCCACAGGTCTTCTGTTTCAACGCCCCTTCTAAAGCTATTGTAAACGAGCGGAGAATTCAACGCCTTTTTACGGCTTTCTATCGTCATTCCAGATCTGGTCCAATCATCTTCGACTGATTTATTCATTGAACTATACTTATACTAGCACGCGCGCTCTGTCCGTCAGTCCGATCCGAGAGAGAGAGAACCACAAAGGGCATCTCTGTCCTACTCTCTATTTCTCTCTCTCTCTCTCGCGCGAGTACGCGCATGCCTAAAGCGGCCGATCGTTGCAACGTTTTCGTGCGGTGGAGGCGCGGACGAGTCCTCGGATATCGAATAGGGGGCCGCCCACATAGACAGCTGAATGATCGTAAAGTGACTCATAAGAAATGAGGTGCAGGTCCTTAAGACTAATACGTCCATTCCAACATGCTTAAAAAGCTGGTACGCTCATGGAGGTGGCTCTTCACAGCCCCATGTGCAGGTCGGAGAAGAGAATTTCTTCCGGGAGGGGGGGTTTATGGATGCGTTTAATAACACCACATTCGATTCAATTAGTGAGGCTGCTGAGGGTTTTCGCCATGATGGGCCAAACTTGGAAGCAGAGTTATTATATGGGCCATTAGTGTGTGGGTTTATTAACGCGCATATGTAAAATTCATAGTGGGGGAATGTTCAAGGACCCTTAAGGCTACAACGTAAAAATATTTTCAACGAAATTGCAATTGTTAACAGGGATGATTTATATCAAAGTTGCATTTTTTTTAATGGAACCCCCTGTATATTATTACATAATTTGATTCCTTGTTAGGGTAATAGGTAATAAAATCCTACATTTGATGCGATGGTAGTTCCATTAAAAAAATCAAGTTACCTTTGATTGAAATTTTAAAAATTGACGGACTGATTTCTTTTAAAACAAAAGAAGTTTAACTTTAGGCGTACAGTTAATGATTAGTGCCACTGCAAAGTCACAGCCTTCTAAGTTTTATGATAACTGCGATATTCAATTTTTACTGGACATCAACTTCTTGAATAATATACAGGGGTTCCATTTAAAAAAATGCAACTTTGATATAAATCATCCTGTATAACAATTGCAATTTCGTTGAAAATATTTTTAGGTTTTAGCCTTAAGGGTATGGAACGCCGTTTTACTTTTTATTACGAAAGTTTACAATGTAACATTATAAACAACAGTTAATTTTATTTCCCGATTTATTATGTTTGTTGTTTTTATGTGAAACATTAAATATGTTTGTTTAAAAAACTTCACTTAATTGAAATGATGTATGAATTATATAGCAAGGTGTATAACGAAAGTTTAACAATACAAATCAACAAACGAATACATAAACGAACAGTAATATAACTAACTAGAACTAATTCAACAAACATAAAAATTTATTCATATTAAATGTGGGATTAAAATTATGAACAAACATTTTAATTCAACAATCATATTAATTCGTGCTGTTAAAATCGGAAAGCATTATTTAAAATGATTGTTGAATTAAAATGTTTGAATTAAAATGTTTGTTGATAATTTTAATTCGTATCTGTGATTGTGCGGAAGTTTCAGGAACTATCCTTTAGTGTATTTGGGTACGTGTATACTAGCGCCTAATTTAAATTATCAACAAACATTTTAATTCATGTAACACTTTAATTCAACAATCATATTAATTCAATTATTGAGGTGTTGTACAAATATTTTCAACAATCATTTTAATTCAACAATTATATTAATTCGTGCTGTTAAAATCGGAAAGCATTATTTAAAATGATTGTTGAATTAAAATGTTACATGAATTAAAATGTTTGTTGATAATTTTAATTCCACATTTAAAATGAATGAATTTTTATGTTTGTTGGACAAAATCGTTTTATTAATCGAAGTATTTCTTGCAATTCAATTTAATTGTTTGTTATTAATTGTTTGTTGAAATACAGTTTCATATACACTCATTCAATATAACAATATAATTCATTTCACATTTTTATTAAGTAACATTTTTTAAACAATCATATTTAATACGTAAGACAATAACAACAAACGTAAAAAGTAGAGGCATACGATTGACTGTTATTTAAAATGGCACATTGTAAAATTTTGGAATAAAATTGTACAAATATTTTCAGAGAACATTTCAATTCAACAATCATATGAATTCATGCTGTTAAAATCGGCAAGAATTATTTAAAGTGATTGTTGATAATTTTAATTCGTATCTCTGATTGTGCGGAAATTTCAGGAACTACAGTTTAGTCTATTTGACTACGTGTATACTAGCGCCTAATTAAAATTATCAACAAACATTTTAATTCATGTATCATCTTTATTAATCAACATTTTTTGTTGTCTCTCTGCTGTGGTGCCTGGTGCTACACAGGCTCCTCAACACTAAACGAGGATGGAGCTCATGCAGGGACCCCTTGAAAAGGTGGATACGTGGTGCAGTAGCCATGGCCTCTAGCTGTTCCATTTAAGAATAGAAAGAGAGCGGACCTTAGTGGGCTCACTCTTTGAGGACGTCAACTGAGCTACGGAGCATGTGGTCTGTCAATGTGACGCCTTGATCAGAGACAGACATCAGCTCCTTGGCGACAGTTATCTGGAACCGGGGAGGGTGAAGCAACTTAGGCTCTGAACCTAGTTATGAATGAAAGGGGGTAGGTACAATGGGCCTTTGGTGTGCCTAAGTGCTGCCTGGTTGGGTTCCCCTTATAAATAGAATACAATAGAATAGAGAGAAACAGAAACGACCCTCCCGCGCGAGTGACAGTGCCAGATATCCCCCTCGCGCGATACTTTTCTATGGCAGAAGACCACCAGTGCGCGTTCCATCATAAGTATAGTTCAGACCCTTTCCGAAATGTTCTAACATTTTTCCAAAGTGTTCTAAAATATTTCCAGAGCTTTCTACGTTTTTTCAAAACTCTACGTAAGCCTTTTCCTCTTTGTAATACCATTCATTGATAAATACAGAATCAGCGGTAATACTGACCAAGCTCTTCTAGAACATTCTGGAAAAGATCTCGAACTGGAAAAAGGTTAGCGGACTTCAAAAGGCATGAAACAGCTCTGGAAAGGCACTAAACTACGTTGGTGAGCATTCAATTACTATGGAAGACGTTTGAACTCCGGGAAGTGCATGATAAGACCTTGAACAGGTTTTCCAGAAACTTGCGGGTCTAAAGTGCCTTCAGACACTCCTTGAGCTGTTTCTAGAGCTTTCCAAATCCTACGGTCATTCCAAAAGTGGTAGTCCAGAATGCTCTGGCAAGCGCCTAAGCATCCACATGCCTTGAAAAACACTTAAGGGGTTCTGTGATTTACATAGCCTTAGAAATGCTCTCTAAAACGCATTGCCATAACGCCCAAGTGTCTCTCCAGAACTGGCTTTCTCGTGTCCTTTGCATTCAAAGCCTTCCAAAGTTACTGATTGCATTGTAGAGCGTTTTAGAAATTTCCTCAGAGCGAGCAGAGCTTTTTAAAGTAACAGAAAGTGACTGAAAGGCCGTTTTGATCTATCTCGAACAGTAATGTGGCAACTGGATTTCAAAAAATGTCAAAATTTCTCACTTAATTTCTAAAATAGCAAACCCAAATTTTTTGAGCATAAGCTTTGCCTTTATAAAATCAAAGGTTGTTCACTTTCAACCAAAGTACTGGACTCTTGCACGAAGGAAGCTATTTACACACTATAAAAATTCAAAACGAGCCGTGTATCGAAATTGCAAGAAACACCCCGTGGGCGTCGGCACCAGCGAGCGCAAGTGAAAGTAAGCAACTCCTTTTGACAACAAAAATCTTTCCATACACCGTGCATTTCGCAAACGGAGCGTAGGAATACCTAATTCATATTGAACTCACGTTTTGTCATTGTATTTCACGTTTTACAATTCCCGCTGTACGACCTTTTCTCGCATTTTTTTTTGCCATTTACGTTCTTATCGCGCGAAGGGGGCCGCGGAAAATTAAAATAACCCCCCGCCTCGACCCCCTTAATTCTGATGTAACATGTTACGCGATACCTAGGCAATTATTATTAAAAATTATAATTAAAATTGGAGCACTTTGATTACTAATTAATATGAAAATATTACCAAATTGATCGTTGGGCAATTTTGTGTATTTTTAAAGTGTAATAAATTTGCGGCGAGGGGGCGTTTCCGCCAGAGGTCATTGCCAAAATCGGGGACCGCTTTCGTTTTCGCTTTATTAATTAAAGTGCGACAATTGTTATTTTTCTAAATTTTATGGAGGATAATTGTCGTTGTTATGAATGCCGTGCGACCTTGCATAAACAATTTACATTCATTGTTCTTCGAAGATAAAAGGTTGAGTTTTCACTTGTAACTTAGTTTCGTATATTGTACCGTCGCGCTTTTCCCATGCGCCACTTTAGCAGAACCGAAACAAAATAATTGTTTCTTTTTTGCAAGAGTGTAGGCAGGCAGCCAAGGTAAATTCGTACAAATTATTGCCATCTCGTTTGATCGAAACACCCCCCCGATTTGAATAGAAAAATGTACTGGTAATTAGGAACAAGATCGCTGACACGCTTTCTCCGTGTAAGAACAGCAGAACCCATTAAAACAATAAAATTCCTTTTGTCTATATTTTTGTTTCAAAAACATATGGCACGAGTCCATCACCTGCGGTACCGGTACTTTCATCAGTATGAGAGCCGAGGAAATTCCAGCGCAGCAGGTATATTGTTACAACCTTCGATTAACACGTGAACTCTTGTTTTTAATCATAGTGCACCGCACCCCCACTCTCTTGCACCTGAGGTAACTCCTTTCAAGATCTTTTAATCGTAAAGTTGAATTTTGCGATACTGGACGGTACCGTCGACGAGTTGTTGTAGTAGTACTGTGAATGAATGCTATGTGATTATATAAGAACACTGTGCGCCTTTTAATCACAGCGCCCACCCGACAATCTGTGATTTATGGAAGCGCCCGAGAATAGAGACACTGTTAAAAGTAAGAATTAAACTTTTTTTTCTTGGGGGAGTAGTCCCAGATTTGATGTGATCCCTTATTTTTATATCCCACGTATAAAATTAATTTAAAATTTCTATTATTAGTTTTTTATAATTATATATAATTTTATTGTTTATTTAATTTCCATCGTGATTAAATTTAATTTATTTTGGGAAAAATCTATTGATCCGACCTTGCACCAACGTAACAATTCTAAAATGATAAATAATAAAGTTGAAGGAATCTGACAGGGGGCTATGACTTCATAAAATATTGTGATTTCTTTTATCAAAATCAACTGTTTTCTCGTAAACAAAATGTCCTAATACAAATAAAATGTAGGGAATACGCAACATCCCTTATGGACGACGTCCGTACGTTCCTCCATCTGTCTGTCAGTAACAAATACTTACCAAAATTATCAAAAATCTGGGCCCGTTACGTTCGGTCAGAAATCACCTTGATCTTGGTCTTTGTGGTTAATAAACAAAAAAGCGCGGCGGCCATATTTAATTGACTCTGACATTCAAAGCAAATGACAGCAGTTATATGGCATCCTCTTCGTGATTGCATCTCTACCTATAAATTTCATTTAATCCTTGAAACTCCACATTTACGAGGAATAAATTGTTAACGCGTCATTAGTTCGCCTAAACAAGGCCTAATTCGATTGAAAGTGAAGCAAAAAAAAAGCGACAGTGATCGTGGCACGCTTCATTTACAATTTTAAAGAGAGTCATGCACTGATTGACTGACGTTTTGCCTCATTTTTCTACGCGCCTGCCGTAATGTGTGTAATATGTCATTGGCATTTGCAATATTTGTAAAATATGCAAATATATTCATAAAAAATCAGGTCATAACAACAACGAAAGTACGAATTTTATTGTAGTTGCTGAATAATTTTATGATTTATAAATTTTTATAAATAATATAATTAAATATTTCTAAATAGTACATGCTCGCCCCCTTGCAAACACCAGGAATTTTGTAGATCATTATTTACGCAAGCGAATTATGTGTAACATGGAAAGTTTTTAATTAACGATCACTAGTTTTCTGCAGAAAATCCCGAGCACTTCCGTCCCTCTGTGACATTTTACAAGTTCGGCGCATATTTTCCAATTAATTATTGCAAAAATCCGCACCGTTTAGAAAGTTAAACAACTTCCTCTCGAACTAAATCTCGCATTAAACTTTATAATTATTTATATGATAGGTATTAAGTTCGCTTTTCACAATGCGCCATTCAAAATCAATGAAAAAACTCCAATTATCGGTTTATTAGTCGATATAAACCAATCGGGAAGTAATTTGTTGTTGGCATTAGCATTGTGCTTCCTTCGATGAAATTGGAAGAGGAAGGGGCGCGGTTGAAGGTAAAAATACCCGTGCCGTGCCGATCGAATTGCCATGGGCAGGATATTGTCTATTAGAATGAATAAAGTCGGCGCACCTGTGGAGTGCCGCAGGGTGCAATATTGGGGCAGTTGTTCTTCAAGTTTAGGTGAATCCTCCTACAGACCCCCAAAACCCAAAAATTGCAGTTTCATTGAACAAGAGCCTTGGATCTTATTACATTATTCACTCCTACTCAACAGGAAACCAAGAAGAGACACGAACTACTGTTTCAAAGACGGTACGAATCTAAAGGTTAAATATTTCCGAGTCCAAAATATGCAATTCACAAGATTTCCTTAGCTAATGTAACAATGTCGACACGCAAATATTTAAGTAACGCAAACAAAAAAAAAGTGTTTACACGAGGAATGTCCCACAAAGCAGCGTTACCGTAAATAACAATATACAAAAAAACGAAATTAACGCTCACGTTTTTATTACGCTCTTGCGTCAAGCAATTATTGGCAAATAACAATCAAAATAAAATTTTAACAATTCACAATTAACTCGTACCATAGCAAATGCCCTTAGAGCATCGCGGATGTGGAAAATTGACCATTAATTAATAACAAACTTTTGAGATGTAAACATTTACATAAACGCCGTTTAACGGGTATACTTAATTTTAAATCCCACACGACCGTTCTTAATGACTTGATCCAATTGAACTCACGCAGACATTTAATTACAATTATAATTACAGTATTCGTTACAATTAAAGCGCGTGATAAGCTAAAATAGTTCTAATTAATTCAATTCGGCTAGAAAAACCACATTATTCTTTAGAAATGCTCGATTTTAAAATGATCTTCACCAATAGATACGTCTCGTCCAGTCGATTCATTTTGCCTTTGAGAGTACTTTGCTCCGACAAGCCGTTTTCGAGATATTCGCTCTTAAAAGTTTTAACATCACCAATGGATATACAGGGTGTCTTAAATTGTGTAGGATAACATGGCTATCTTTGTTATTATTATACTTATAGATTCGGTTAAATTGGCAAAGTTGTGTAGTTTTTTATGCTGATGGACATTTCGATGCAATATTTTGAAAAAAAGAATTTGTTTCGTGGATAATTGGAAAAAAGTGACAATCGCTATTTTTAAAAAGTATTTTAGTAACAAAGAGTGCTATCGAAAAAAGTTTCAGGATTCCATGAGACAAATTCAATGGACGTAAAAATTATTTTTCAAAATGGCGGTTTTCGAGATATTGACATCAACTTCCTTATTTTAAATGGAGGCTATATTGGATTTTTAAGTCACTATAGAAAGTCAAAAAAATTACAAAACCAGTAATACTAAACACCTAGTATTTAATTTGGGAATCAACTTTGCATTTTGCCCCGAAGTTTACAATATATTTCTTATGGCAATAATTCCATGACTGATTACAATAGAAATCAAATTCATTCGTTTATTGTCTCACAGTCACCATCGACACGGCCATGGAATTATTGCCATAAGAAATATATTGTAAACTTCGAGGTAAAAATGCAAAGTTGATTCCCAAATGAAATAGTAGGTGTTTAGTATCACCGATGTTGTAATTTTTTTCTCTATCAAATGATATAAAAATCCAATATGACGTGCATTTAAAATAAAGAATTGAGGGCAATATCTCGAAATCCGCCATTTTGAAATTTTTTTACACCTATTGAATTTATCCCATCGAATCTTGCAACTTTTATTTAAAATTTTTTTCGATAGCTCTCTTTGTTACTAAAATATTTGAACTTTTTAAAAATGGTGAATTTCACTGATTTCAAAATATCGAATCGGAATATCCATTAGCATCAAATACTACACAACTCTGCTAATTTAACCGAATCTGTAAGTATAATAATAACAAAGATAGCCATGCTATCCTACTGAGGGGCTATGGTTGGTAGAAATTAATTCCTTTCGTTGAGACCTTTCATTAAAGTACCATGAAGGATAGAATCAGCCCCCCCCCCCTTTTTTTTGATAAGGAGTCGGAAAAAAGCGCAGTTAGTTGGTAGAAAATGGTTCCTTTCGTTGAGACCTTTACTTAGAATACCATGAAAAATGACATTAATTTCTACACCCCCCCCCCCCCCATCCCCACTTTTATTTCAATGAGACCATGAAGGGTAGAACGTGTGTTTACCCCTCTCCCTCCTGCCCTTTTCAAAAGTTTTACTTGGTGCCCGGGATGCGTATGGAAAATCTGAAACCAATTGGTTGTCGTATGTAAAAGTTATGTACGTTTTACTTCCAAAATAGCATCTCAGCCCCCCCCCCCCCCCCAAGACAGCGAAATTTGATGGCAGTCTGGCACACCTTCAAGCTATAGGACTCTAGGACCATTCCGCTAGAAGTCGTTCAAAACGATAGAAGTGGGTCCGGACCGGACGGAGCGAAGAACAGACGGACGGACAGACAAAACGCAAACAATAACACTTTTTTAATTCTTAAAATAATGCGCTACAAATGTGGCATGGTATTCTAATTAAAGGTCTTAACGAAAAGAATTTATTTCTACCAACCATAGCCTCCTCCTCGACTCCATATCATAATCGGATATAATTGCTCTCAAGAGCGGATTATGGGAGGAGGGTACTTACAAAGAGCGATTGGGACGTATAGTAGCGAAGATCTCGAGATTAAAATCACAAAGGGCTATTGAAACATCTGGACTAGGCATATCTAATGGTAGGTTAAAACTTTTTAGTACGAATATGTCAATGCATATTTTTCATGTTTCCGTTCCCGTTGGAATTTCGTAAAGTGTTTTACATCAGAAACCTGCCCGGACGAATATTTGTAAACGGAAGACACGTCCGCATGCATACGAAAATCGACCTATCTCCACAACTATTTCGCAATGCAAACTCCGTTTAACTAACGACTGAATGTGTACGAAGGATACTGGTCTTGCAATCTGGCGGCTCGGGTTCAATTCTCCGCATGAAGTTTTTTTTTTAATTTTTGTCAGAAGAATGCGTTTCCCAAATCAGCGTATTTGGACATTAGGTTATATGAGGATTTAAAATTACCTTCTCAATTTTTCTTTGAAAAGCAAACTTGTACAAAAGTGCTACGGATAATTGATACATTTGACCGTCCATTTTTTCGCCTCTCGCCCCAAGTCGACGGTATGGATTCTTCTACGGCCATAGTTGATCACGCTGTGGTGCCATCTATTAGTTATATTACGATTTAAAATGACAGAAAAGAGAAAAATTGTTCTTTTACGCCTTTCCGTACATTTTTTGAGATGTCATCTTTTACACGAACCTTGTCCTGATAATAACAAACACAACAAAAAAAGAATTATCTAATTTGGTGCAGTCATTCTGAAGTTATGCGCGTACATACATTTCTACGATCCATTTTTATTTATATAGATTTGGGGCAAGCTTCCGTACTGTCTGATTGAAATTCTACTAGTGAAATCTTATGTCGATTTCTTACGAAAATCGCGATCGCTCTCCTTTAATTTAAAATCGGTCGCCATATTGGGGCTAAATTGCTATAATTTGGTATAGTTTACACTTTTTTGGCGTTTTTGCGAAATTCTGTGAATAAAGGTGCTACTTAACCTAAAATGTACGGTTCTATACAGGGTGTTAATTAAAGTTATTAATGCAGATTTTTCAGGGAGTAATAGTACTCGTCAAAATAAGAAAAAGATGCAAATGTAGGTAATTGTTTGAAATTTCACATTTTTTAGAATCTCTACAATAAAATATCAAAATAGTTGGTCGCAGTATACAGGGTGTTACATTTTCTTAAATCGGCTAAAACCAAAGCTACAACTTTATCTTTCAGAACTTTTTTGGAGCACCCTACCTTGAAATTTTAGCTCACTTTCCTTTGTTCAGTTCTCTGATCTCGTATCTGTCATCGTTTTAGATTTATTTGCAAAAATAACCATCGATGTAAAGTATATATAGGCGAAATAGGCAGTTTTTATTTGTACCACTATCAAGGCCTCTTTGGCCATAATCAAACTGGTTATTGTTTTCCATTTATTTGGAAGTGCATCCAAATTGATTCTTCTTTTAAGTTAAAAACACAATGAGTCATAGGACTCTTGGAAATGATGCAAGTCAAAAGGAAAGAAAAGAGTGCCAAATTCTCGATAGGGCTAAGATGCCAACCGGCACGCTGAAGAAGAAACGTAAACCGAATTTCAATAAGAAAGAACACAGAAATAATAAACACGCCGCACTCGTACGAGTGACTAAAGCATTTTGGAGTTTTGAGTAATAGTCATGGTGCCAAATACATTTTCGGTTAGTACTTAACATGGAAAGAATGTATTACGGGAAAACGGTGAGATTGCAAATTAATTGCGGCGTTTCGTGCGCATGTACGGCGCCTCGCGCACACGGATGATTGAACTGAAAAAATTTATAGCGAAATCGCACGCGCCAGTCCTTGGTAGTAGCTAAAAAATTTGAAAGTGATCGGTAATTTCTCTTGAACGAATGGGCTCGCCTTATTAGTAACAATGAAAATAATAGACCTTATATATAATAATACATTAAAGCTGTCCTACGGAATTTTACGAGCAAATATTAGACAATGCAACGGAGTGTTAACGAAAGCCGACCTACTTTTCGCATACAAACTCTTGAGAATTTGCCATGTGATTATTTGTACCTTAAAAAAGACAATATTTTCAAGGTGTTTTAATGAAGAAAACAATTAGCGTAATTTGCTTCGTTCGTTTTCTGACGAGGCGGCGATTTTTACATAAGATTGATAAACGGTTTTGCAATAGACTACTACGACCACGCCCTCTGCCGGCACCCTATTATTATCGTATTCATACTTAGATCAAAGTTATGGAGATTGAGCAAACAAAAGTATGAACTTTATATGTTGTAAGAGTAATTACGAGCAGCGGAAAGGAACTGAGCTTATCCAGTGTAAAGAAAAGAAATTAGGTAACATAAATATTGTTAGTCGGTTTCTAGTCAATTACTAATATTGTTAAAAAAAGAAATTTTTCCGCGTTCCTCTCCGTTTGCCGGTGGACGATCGATGATTACCTACCCGCGAAACGTGCACTTTCAAACACGTGCCACTCAAAGTCAGTATCAAGATCACCCAATCACACGTGAGATCGCTTTCCATTACCAAATAAAATTAATATTTATTACCTCTTCGTAAGTGAGAGATGCAAGTACCAATTCAAGGTTAAAAAAATATTCTAGAATTTCTACTTTCTCGACGGTTGCTAACATTTAATTTGTAACGAAGCACTACCTCCCAATTGTGATTGAACTCGTAGCAAGGACGAAATTTCTAATGAAATACAAAGCAAAACGTTTTACGTAACTAATTAATTTATGAACTGGGTACATAATAATTACGTTTGGGCGTAGTAGGATGCCGCGCCTTGCGTCAAAGAATTGGCGACATTTGATGATTTTACGAGTCCAAAAAACAGGGTCAATGTGGTTCTTTGACGAGCCAAATCAAGAACAAAATTTGCGGACTAATTTAAATACGGAAATACTAGCGAAATTGAGGCGACAGGTTGTTCAAGTTTTTAAGGGGACGGGGGGGTTTCGGCCATGACGTCACATTCGCAACAGTTTCTTAAAAACTGGATAATCCATCGCGCATTATTTACATAAACGTATGTCGAACCATACAATAATGTAACCATTTACATAATAGCGGCTTTTACAACCTTCCTGCTATTTAAATATATGGGTACCTACTCCAAATATAAAACGGCAATTCGCCAATTAAATCCGGTCGTTTATAATTAATAGTCAAACTGGAGTCTCGATTCTGGTTACGCAAGATAAATTCCTTGCACTTTAAAGAACAAGTTGAGAATTATTGACCTTAGGATATTACAAACGAAAAAAAAGCCGTTAAAATTGAGTGAACGGTTTGTAATTATGTCTAAAAAAAATTGCGCCCCGCCTTATAAGGTCTACCAACCTTGATATAGATTTAATCACGATCTGAACGAGTAACATTTGACCCTTTTTCTTGATACAAAGCGCCCGTTATAGCAAATGCAGTTGCAGAATACGAGGCGTGGCAGGAACCAAATGAGCCGGAGTCGAGCAAGGAAAGGCACTAGAAAGGACCAAGGCTGGGCTTAATAATCATATACAATACCACTCGTTTTATTTTATCTCAAGTGGCGACAGTGGCCATTATTGTAATGTATGTTAATGGCGTGATGAATTAGTAATTGTATTTCTGTTACAGATGAAGTGGATTACTTTTCTATCGCTCCTCTACGTATACGCCGATGGGCAGAGTGCAGGTGACTACGTTGATCTTATCCCCGAGGGTACAAGTAATGGAGCCAAGGCGAATCAAAAGGTGGACGACGATAAGAAAACGCTCTCTCAGCAAGTGGCCGAAGGAAGATATGGTTTAATTCCCAATGAGATCTTCAAAACTCCAATCGCGCGACCGGGTATAGTCAGTTACGAGAGTAACAGTGAAGTGCCATCGGATAATATCGACAATTTAGGTGGATTAAATGAAAGTGATATTTGGCTAGCCGAAAATCATCTGTTAGTGTTAAGGGGTGGTGTGTTGTCAGTGCTGGACAATGCGCCGGATTATGCGGCCAGTCCAGTATGGCCACCTATCGACGATTACAAAGCGCCAAAGCGACCAGTGAAAATACCAAATAATCCCAAAGTACCGCCGCCCTTTCCCGTCCAACTCAGAGAAGGAGGTCCCATTCAAATCTTGGGGACGAACTTTACGCGAACGCTTAATGAATCGTCTTACCCTTACCAATATCCGATACCGCCCTTGGATGGTTATGACCCCGGCAATGCCCCGTTCTTCCCACCCCCCTATCAAAATTCGCCCAACTTTATTCCCGGGAAAGCTCCGTTCCCAGATACTCCTTTCATTACCCCCATACAAGGGGGCAATCAGTCTGGGTATGGTCCATCGCTCAAGTTCCCAATAGGAAACAAAATTCCGCCAATTTTTGATTCGTTGCCCCCGGGTACCTCTGTAGTTTCACCGAACATAACGGAGGATTACGACGAAGATGACTTATCAATATACTATCCGCCCCCATACAGTTTCTATTACGAGAAGGAAAACGTCAGCGCGGTACCTCCGGGTCCGTTGGTGCCCGGCATTGTACTACCTCCACCGCCCAATTTCTTCAGTCCTTTACAAAAACCTACCGGAGCGCCATCTGTAACAACGCTTGGGAACCAAATGCGAAACACCACCACCATTATACCGACACCCGTTTACATTAAGCCGACGTTACCCACGCACTTCTCAATGAGAATACCGCAAGTGCGCAACAAAACCGTCAGTGTAACAATACTTCGCCCCATCAAAACAACGAAAAAACCCACACCTCAATACGTTCCAAAACCCTTCGAAGTTTATGGTCCTCCTCCGATTCCCAAGGTCACGGTACAAACCACAAAAGTACCACTCAAATCATACTTCACTGAAACTGACGCTAACCTTGTCAGTCTTCTCGAAAAAGACCACCGAACTACCAAGTCTTCGCTAAGAAAAACACCACCCCCACCACAAATTTACTACTATGACGATACACCGGCCACTAACCTAGTCACTCCCTTCCCTTCCAACCACCAAATCCTCCTGCGTAATTTATCCGATTTTTACGTAGAGCCGCCGAAGGTGTCCAGAGTTAGATCGCACAACCGTTACTATCTGCCAGCGCAGGAACCTCTCCAAGTGCGCACCAACAGTTTCAACACTCACATAGCGCAGCTGCAGGACGAAATTGAAAAGACGAGACCTCGCATCAGACCGCAAACGCCCAAACCGGTCTACCAATACAGCTTTGAGGTTTCGAACTACAAAGAACAGCACGAGAAGTTACACCCAGCATACCATCCCCAGGTTGAAATACAACCCGCAATTGAAGTATCAACACCTCCGCCGGTCTACCAAAACCGCCCGCTGCCGATCTACGTCCGGCCCCATTTCGATTACTCGCCGCCGGTTACACCGAACCCGGTTTACGACCAGTACTACACCAAGCAAGACGAGCGAGGCCTCGACGACATTACAAAGACGTACTTTACGACCTTCGGCAAAAAACTTCCCGCATCGACGACGCCGCTACCGCCGCCGAGACGATTACCGCCGAAACGTCCGAGCGCCGACGCCATAGTGAACTACCTCAAGCGCCCTCTGCAGGTCGACTACATCGGCGCCTACCACCAAGAACAGGACTATCGGCGAAAGATACCGCCGAACGTGCAGACGATTCAAGCGATACAGGTGCCGCTGAGGACGACGCTGCGCGAAACTCAGGCCGGCTCGTTTATATCCTACGAACTGCCGGGAGACGACGGTGCTCATTTTTACTTTTTAACGCCGCAGCTGACGAACTACTACCAGCAAACGGCGGACTCGAGGATACGACAGCAGCGCGAAGCGTAGTGTGATAAGACAATTTGTGTGATTAATTGGATTTTACCGCCAAAGAAGATCTGATGAGCTCAAAAGTGATTTTAGATATGTATTTATTTAAGATGAAATTTAGTGGTCGTCTCTGTGAGATGATTACGTACCTAAATAAAGAAAGTAAAAAAAAATCATAGGGAGATCCTTTCGTTAGAGGACATACATCTTCACATCCACCCTCCGCCCCCCTTACAATTTTTTGTCCAATGGTGAAGATTTGAGATCTTTTCCTTATTAAGTTCTGACAAATACCTTAATATATTAATACAGGAAACTCGCTACTATTTTCATTTGCGTAACGCGAGACGCGAAAGAGCGCCATCTACACGGCCCGGTGTGGAATGACCAAAAATTAAGGAGTAAATTATATTACCAGTATTATTTAATATCTAAGATATGTGATATTACTTAATAAGCGTTTTCGAAAATTGAACCGGTTTAACCGGGTTAGTTAAAATGACCATAGAAAAAATTGTGGCAATAATTGTTACCATAGCAAAATCTACCAACCTGGATAAACCGGTTGAGTTTTCGAAAAAACTCACTATCAATTTATCCATAACAATAACAAAGCACCGATTTTCAACGACAATTCCTGTATTATTAATAATAATCTGACAAGAAAGAGACGGACGGACGGACGAAGAAAGTAGGCACGCATACGGTAAGAACATTTGACAATCAAGACAAAATAATAAGTAATTTACTGCTTTTGTTTATTCATTTATTGGTTAGGCAACACATTAAACAAATTACTATTTAAATGAAGCCCACTCTGCTACAGTTACTGTTATATTTTTGGACAGAATACAACAAAAACAAAAAATGTGTTCGGATGACAAAAAATCTTTGTTAGTCTATAAAGAACCTGTATACCAAATTTTAAAACAATTGGTCACATCTATAAATATTTATTGACCACACACACGAGCAGACAAATAACATTGTTAATTAAAAACAGAACTAACTTAAATACGCCAAAAAAATATAAATTTTGCATTTACTTTGTAGGACAGAACGCCACTCTGCCCTTCATCCTTGGGCATAAGTCACCATACAAACTTGCACCACTTTAACAATACATTTTTGCAGGCACTCATGGCAGTAACTATTTAAAACAAGCACACAAAAAGTTTTTGTACGATATGATAGGTATATCTTTTATCTTTTATATTGGTCCCACCTGAAGGTTTAAATGTAAATCGTGGAAAGGGGTTTAATTTTGAAGCAAACTTAATACAAATTTTGTTGGGTCATCCTGTATAATCATAGACTAAATAGCCAGAAAAGATTGTTTATTTATTTATATATTAATTATGTATGAAGTGGGAATCCCACTGGGGAATTTTGTTGTTTACATTTTCATTAATGAAATACTCCTTGTGAAATTCCATCAAACTATTATTGTTTAAAGCAGGGCCGGATTATACTATGCTTAGGTCCATATTGAAACAAAAAACGGACATTTTTTATTCGGCAATAAAAGACAGTCAGCCCTGAATAATTACACGATCGGGGGCGGGATAGCAATTTGCTGCTATACTTTTAAGACCGAGTCTCACATAAGCGACACAATAAATTCTCCTTTTGTTGAAAGGGAGAGAAAGTTCAAATTTCATGCCAAAATTCATACAGGGCGCTTCAAAAAAAGCTCTGAAAGATAAAAAATGTAACACCCTGTATACTGCGACCAACTATTTTGATACATTTATTGTAAAGATTCTAAAAAATAATTGATGTATCAACTAAATTAAAACTGCCATCCTGTATAACGAAAACGACGCCCTTTAGGCCATGCATATATACGCATTTTTTTTCCATTTTTGACTACTACTTCTGTACTGATTGTTAAAAGAGGTTAACTATCGACATTGTTGTCAGACCACATCAAGACACAGGCACATGTCGGCTGTGGCAACCTGTACGCCATTACCAGCGCAATTTTAAATATAATATATGCATTTAGTTAAACATTTTTGAAACAATCTACCGGGTTTTCTTTTTGGGCGCTTTAGTTTAACGTTTCTGGTGAAATAGGTAGTTTTTGAAGTTACTCTGAATCAATGTAAAATATTTTCAAAATGGTGGCACTTACGGAAACACCGGAAGTAGCTAGTAACTTCGTTATTTTAAATGGGCACGCCTATTCTTTATTGCATTTTTGGATTCTACGTGAAATTTCAGTTCTTTTGATACCCACTGTCGATATCTACAGTTTATGGTTTTTGACATTTAATTTCGGATTTTCTTTTTAGTAGTCGGCCATGATTTTATGACAATCGAATTTTAAACAAATCTAGTGACACTATAATCAGTCACAGTTTTTATTAATCGAAAAATGGGTCACAGTGGTTTCACGCATGAAGATTTTTGGAATTTAATTGTTATATTATATGGACAGAATCGCGGCACGTACTTGCCGTACATTCAATGGGCGACATCCAGGCGGTTCGCGTCCTAATGATCATTAGAATGTAGATGTAGAAATGGATTCCGGTAGATCATTGATGTACATTAAAAAGAGAAGTGGACCAAGTATACTCCCTTGGGGTACTCCTCTATCCAGAAAGACCGATTTCGAGCACATACCATTTATTCGCACTAATTGTTGTCTATTATGCAGTACGGATAAATGAAACACGAAATTAAACTAACGGCAATAAGTGAAACATCTTTGAACCCATCATATAGGGCAATTTAATATACAAAGAGTGTTGGTGCTTCATTATGGAAATGTTCTCCTTACCCCTCGTATTGTAGGTGTGGGTATCTCCCACTTTCCCAAAACTGTTTATATTTTTGTGTATATAACAGAGCAATGTAAGTATGTATACACGGTGTCCATTTTTCGAGTGCCACTATGGGGATCTCACTTATTTTAAGAGATAGACAGTTGGTTAAATGGGGGCAAAGTTGCAAATTTCCGTGCTGAATAAGAATCTGAAAAGAAATTTGAAATATCTTCAATACTTTTGAAGATATCACAAAAAAACGAAAATTTCTGATTTTCGTTTTTAATTTTTTTATGATAAACTAGTCGTAGTAGACATTTCTAATTAGCACATTATTCGGACACTTTTTAATGGAGATTTCAAATATGGCGTTCTGTTTTTAATTACGTTCAAGATGGAGAAACACGTGGCAACTTTAGTTTTTCATATGGGCGCCATATTGAATTTTGACATTTTGGGATTACGTCTTTTTTTCTCTTTACAACGATATATCACACATGGTGGTTCAGTATCACATTTTTCCTAAAAATACAATTTTTCATTTTTTGAGAAGAGTGCTTTGGAAAAACAAAACGTTCTTTTGTTGTCAACAAAAGTTTGACAGTTTGATCCATCTGTCTGGTTGCAGCGTTGTCAGAGAAGTAGAAATTCGATTTTCATCTCAACCGCTTGCAAAATTGCCTGCTCATATTAATTGGGTCTATCACCATATTGCGGTCTACATCTTTTAAAAGAACCATATTCGCCCAAGTTTTTATGCAGCAAAGAAAAATACCTCAAACTAGGTTGTTGCCCCTCTGGATAACGCTGCAAGTATGTTGCAGCAGTCATGTGGGCATTTCGATGAGAAGTGTAGTAAATTTGGATCATATCTCTTTGATCTGCACTTGAAAAAGGCATTTTCGCATTACTAGCATAAACCTAAATGACACTACATGAAATAAGTCAACCTTTTGTTCACAACAAAAGAACGTTTTGTTTTTCCAAAGCACTCTTCTCAAAAAATTAAAAATTGTATTTTTAGGAAAAATGTGATACTGAACCACTATGTGTGATATATCGTTGTAAAGAGAAAAAAAGACGTAATCTCAAAATGTGAAAATTCAAAATGGCGCCCATAAGAAAAACTAAAGTTGCCACGTGTTTCTCCGTCATCTGGAGAGTTATTAAAAACAGGATGCCATATTTGAAATCTCCATTAGAAAGTGTCCGAATAATGTGTTAATTAGAAATGGGTACTACGATTAGTTTATCATAAAAAAAATAAAAACGAAAATCAGAAATTTTTGTTTTTTTGAGATATCTTCAAAACTATTGAAGATATTTGAAATGTCTTTTCAGATTCTTATTCAGCACGTAAATTGGCAACTTTGCCCCCATTTAACCAACTTTCTATCTCTTAAGATAAGTGAGATCCATAGTGGCACTCAAAAAATGGACACCGTGTATACTGGGGAGAGGTAAAATTTTAAAAGATTTAAAAAGATCTTTATTCTCCCCTTCAAAAAAATTAGAAATTTTCCAAAAAATCTCTAAGAGAAATAAAAGAAAACAAAATCGTGCAGGACTTACCGATATTTAACTCTTGCTCCGTATTTTCGTCCTTGACCGGTTCATCGAAGAGATGCAAATACACCTCGATGGCACAACGCGCAGCCTTAAAATAAAACGGATGCCCCCTCAACACGTCCTCCAATCTCAGCAGTCTGACATACGAACACAATGTCATTTTACGCATGCAATACGTATGAAAATCGAACTGATCCTCGATTATTTCCGAAAAATGCTAAAAATAGAATTATTATATTATCGTCGCGCCGAAACGAAACACGGACCCGATCGACTTCGTGACATTTTTTCAGCGCCTCCCCGTACTTTCCTAATCTTTGGTAAGCTAACGCGCACTCCGTCTGAAACCACATGCACTGCATCTCGTTTAAGTTCTCCATCGCGGATACGCCCTCGCGGGTAAATTTCGAACAGATCTCCTCCGCCTCCTTTAGCTTGTTGGCTCGTAGCATGTACTTCGCACACTTCGAGTTGATATATCGGTCGGCGGTGTCGAGAGCTTGGGCTTCGTCCAACCACTTGCACGCTTCGTACGGGTCGCCCGCGTGCTGGAACAATAAATGAGTCAAATTTAGGACCACGCTTATTTGCTTTACCAGGTGTGGGTATAGCAAATTTCTTATTTTGAATAGGACACCCTGTATTTGGTTGCATTTTCTAAATCTACGTCGTTTGATTCGCTACACCCCGCGTCAAAGGTTTTCAAGGTCAAGATTTTTCAAAATTTTTGGCATTTGACTGCTTTTCTTTTGAGCCCTGTACCTACAATTCCATTGACTTGTATTTCAAAAAGTCCTCCAAAATGATTTAAATTTTGATCGCGCTTCTACAGGGTGTTTTAGAACTAATGGTAACTTCAAAACTTAAAAAATTGATTTTAAAAAAAAACATGCACTTTAAAATCTTCTTCACGCAAATCTTGAAAATAATCCGTGTCCTCTTGCTTGCTAATTTGGCCGCTTTGTGGTCTAAAAAAGTATTTTTTTTCAAAATTGTATTTCATTCAACATTCACTTGTATTGTTCATTAAATATAATTGGCTTCTTTTGGAGTCACTGCATTTGATTTAATTTAGCTAGTAGTAATACTGTTAAAGATTTTAAATTCAATCGTTCTTATTTTCAACACTCCTCTGTGTATAATTTTTTGAATTGATAATAAAAATACCTATAATTGATGCATAATACAAGGGCTGTCTCATAAGTAAGTTGCGCTATTTTTCTTAATCCGTGTGGAAGGCGGGAAAAATCGCGGGGAATTTGCGTCTGGGTGTAGTGGCAGCACTTTAAAATCCCCACGCGTGTACGTCGGTCGAGTGAGCTGTCAAGTAGGAGCAACACCTTTTTTTCCGCTAAATCTTCCATTGAGCAAGAAACTAACCTTACCATCCCCGCACAAAAAGTACAACTGTACAAAACGATGTTTCCATCCTTCTAACTGAAACTACCTTTCCCAAGGAAAGATAAGAGCAATCGTAACCTAAAGGGCATCTAATCCACATTAATAACTGTAGGTTACTTTAAATTTTTTATTTGCATAGAGTAGTGGTCGATTACTTTTAAAATTTGTATGGCAATTTTGCTTAAAGTAATTTTAATATTCCTAAAGGAAGAAGAAACAGCTTGTATTGTATTACTTGATAACAATTGGATCCAAACAAAAGAGTTTCGAGTACTGTCACTTCATTAATTGGGAATTTGCGTTTAATAGAATAATAACAAGAAGCCACCACCTACGCCGCATTTTATTAAATGGTGCGAATTTATCAAAAACATATGCACCAATTGTGAGTGTGTAGGCCATCAAGACGGCTATTGCCAGAAAAGTACCATGTCCTATTTTCGTTAATACTGCAGTGTATCTTAGCTGTTTTTAAAGATAAAGACGCTGTGCCGCTTTTCTATAAAACTTTTTAATACCCAAACAGAGACAATCTAGCTACATTTGTTTCTGAGATACAGGGTGAAAATAAAAAGTTTGATTTTTGGGATGTTATCATGTAAGACAGAAAAAAGGTAAAAATTGTTTCTTTTAGATATTTTGACTTAGAATCCAGTTACTGAGATTTGACCCAGTTGGAATTTTTTTAATGCAACACCCTGTATATCTCAACGTCAATTTATTACATTCTTTTTCAATAACTAACCACTGCGGATTGAAATATAATAATTTCAAGATGATGCCGCTTCCGTAAATAACGGAAGTTGGCGCCATCTTGGTTTTTTAATAGAAACATACCATTTTAATTTTCCAAATGCTCCATTCTATTCTCAATTCAACGCATTTAAGATTCGCGTACGTATCTGTCATTACTTTTGACATGTCAATTTTTCTCCAAAAATTTGGAGATGCAAGGGTCCATTCAACTTTACTGACCACACCGTCATTTTACCGGCCACATTTTTGACATTTCTAAATGTCTATAATGACTCATGTCATCACTGACAGATTGACATTAATCAAAAGTTATATATATAAAAATTAAAATTTTATATTAAGACGATTTTGGGTAAAATTTAATACAAATCAGTAAAATGACATTACCTGACTCGGAAATTAAAGTACTCGGTCATTTTCATATTTCTGTGAAAAGTATAGAGATTGTTTCATTTTACGGAGAAAGTTAGTCGAGTTGAAGTTTTTGGACTTAAAATAAAGTGTTTGAAAAATAAATTAGTCGATATGATTTTCGTTTTGGACGAAATAGATAAAAATTGCCTTTTTTGCATGGCGACCTCACTATTATGTAAATTACATATAACTTATTTAAGATTAGAATATAAAAACCAGAAAAACCAAGTTATTTGGGAAAATATAAGAGATAGGTATAGGACATTATTATTAAAAGTTGAAGGTTTTTGGAGGAGCTAAAAGATGACAGAAAAATATACAGGGTGTTCCATTTAAAAAAAGTGAGATTTTTTCATATGAAGTTCTGCAACTTTGGACCTACCAAAAAAACACCCTGTAAGCTATTTTTTTGATGTTTCATAGTAGATCTATTTATTTGACTTTTACTTAATCCAGGATAAAAGATATAAAACCTGGAATCAAAATTTTGACAATATACTGACGCTTGCAAATGCCCAATTTTTCTTAAAAATCGAATTATCTTTAAAACTACTAGCTTTTCGGATCGGATATGAACCATATAATAAAAAAGACGTACAATTACACGTACAATTCAAAAAAGCATTCAAATACAGCGGTTCTATTAAAAAAATGTATCATTTGGGCGCCCTACTTTGTAGGCGCACCCTGTATAATTCCAAATATTTTGAAAATGTGGAGAATATTCAACCATATCATAATACAAAAGCACTCTAACGAAAAATCTTATCTTCAAGGCATTAAGTTACTCCGCGAAATCGTTGACTCACCCTGTACAAGGTCGCTCCTCAATTTGGTACGGGTTCACGCTCGTAACTTCACTAAGAATGCAGTTTGAGCGTACCTCACGTAGCCGCTTGCGAAAATCACCTTAGAATCAAATTTTTAACGCACACAAATAGTACGTGTCGACTCGCCAAATCAACCACTTCTGCCGCTATTTAAATTTCGCGCGTTAGAAATCTTAACGCAATGACCTCGAGTAGCGGACCTTTTTAGACGAATAGTAAATCTGCATTTTTGGCACATGCGCGAAACAAAGAGCTCAAGGCAACCGCGCTCGCTTTCCCCCATACCGTTCTCGTTATCGCCTGACATACTTTTGTTCATGTTCGCTATGAAGCGGTACAAGCTACAAATTCAAAACCATATTTTTGAAACGGCTAAGCGATCACCTGTTATAAAATGGCGCATTTAGAAAAGAATAGAAAATGTTTCTATTTAGAAAGATGGCGCCAACAACGCACGAAACAATTGGAACCCGCCATTGATTTTCTACTAAATCTCAAAAAACATATTAAAAGAATCAGAGCAAGAAATAAATCTTTTGTTAAACCCTAGACCCCCCCCCCCCCCTCAATCATGGAAAGTGTGGCTCTCGCAAATTTCTTCATACAAAAAGAAATGTCTCTTGTAAAAAGTTTGGCCACCCCTGATATATATGATTGCATATTGAAAAAAGTGTGAGATGAAAGTTGTTTGATATTATATTATGCCTCTTTTGACGTCATTTCAAGTTATGTCATGATGAGCATATTTTTTAAATTGAACACCCTGTATTTTTTTAGTGTTTTGATCCTCTAGACGAGGTGCTTCAAAATGATATGGGGTTTTAACACTCTGAAGTTCTCAGATTTCAAAGATATTTGAGTTTTTATATCAATAATTGGCTCAAAAATTACTCAATAACGTCTAAAGTGTCAGTTGTCAGTTTTAATAAATGGTTCATTTATCCAAGAAAAACTGAATGACAATTTTAATTATGGTTGGGTATGGAGATCGGATGAAATATGAAATACATACACATTTCTCAATGTTTTGATTTAATTACATTAAAACTAAAATATCTTGAAATCTGAGAACTTACCATTTTGAGACACCTCCTCTAGTGGATCATAAAAAACTAAAAAAATACAGGGTGTTGAATTTAAAAACTATGCTCAACATGACATAATTTGAAATGACGTCAAAAGATGCATAATATAATATCAAACAACTTTCATCTCACACTTTTTTCAATATAACGAATGATTAAGGCTGTAGCTCGCTGATTCCATACTTTTCCCCCACACTGTATATTATAATTCAATTGGAATAACAAAATCAATTGAAATCAGATGGAGCCACTTGTCGAGTGAATCAGTATACACAAAAACAGTAAGCGATCTACCACTTAATCTGGAATGCTTACCTTGTAGATTCGTCCTTTTGTGACGAACAACTCTATAAGCGTAGGCGTATGCTCCAAAGCCGCATCTATGTACATTAAAGCCTTTTCGGTTTGATCCAGATAATCGTAGTGCTGCGCGAGGAAATAGTAAACCCAAAGTAACGCCGACGCTGGTTCCTTAGGGCCGTTATTCACTTCGGTCTCGGCGAACTTTCCAATTGACTTTAAGGCATCGGTGTATTGTAACAACAATTGCTCAATGATTTCAACTTTGCTCTTATCCGTATATACAGAACGTAAATCGACGAACAAAGGCGGTACGCCCTTCCTCAAACCTTGTCTTAAGTAACTATCGACTAAGGTTTTAAATTGATCGCCGACGGCGTAATTTAAAGGTAGGCGCTTCGGCGGGTTCGACTTCGGATATAAATCGCCTAAAACTAAATAAAACTGTACAATATCTTCCGATTTAACTAGTTCTCGAGCTTGGATTAATTTGTAATAGTACGTCGTCTTCTCCGGATTTCTCCTCATTAGCTGTTCGTAGTACTTCGTCGCTTTCTCGTATTGCTCGAGGTCTAAGTTTAATTCGCCTAAAATTTCCTTTAACGTTAATTTATCCAAAATTTGATCTTCGCGTTTTTCCAAGTGGAGCAGCGCCCGTTTCAAATCGCCCGATTCGTGTATGACCATATTTTGATAGAGAAGTAGCTCGCTGTGTTCGTAATCGTAATTGTTCCCTTTCTGTAAAAGTGAAAATAGTCTTATAAGCGGACCGAAGGCTGGTGCGGAACTTACTTGTTGTTGGTCTAAAAACGTTTCTAAAATATTTAGTGCACTTTTGTAGTCCCCCAGCAAATGAAATGACATTGCGTAACCGATCCATGATGCTCGCTGTGTAGGTCGTAACATTAGGAGCTGATAACGTGTATCCTAAAGGAAAATGTGAAAGATTGTCGGTTAAAAATCGATTGCATACCCGATATCCTTCCAGGTCTCTCATCTGTATTTGAAGAAGTGACAAATCGCGTAGAATTTGAATATTATCTTTCTCCCACTTGAGTGCGTTTCTGTAACACTTAATCGCCTCATCGTACTTCTTGTCAGATCTTTGTAAAAGTCCGTAAACGTGCCAGCAGACGTGAGAACGTAAGTCGTTTCGCAAACCTCGCCTGACATACTCGTAGGCTTCATCTTTACGTCCCAAGCAATTTAATGTCAAACCTTTCATGGCCAACGTTTCTGAAACGCATCACTTTACACAATCTACCTCACCAAAAATAGCCACATACCTCCATGCTCTGTAAACTTGGAATTCGATAAAATTTGCTTGGCAAATTTTAATCCGTTCTTGTATTGCTTTTGTTCGTAACATCTCTACAAAATAAGAGTCATTAAAAATTGCGGGGCTTTAACGTGTTAGAAATTCGAGGTTACAAAAATATTTAAAATTCGTTCAAATTAAAAATAGACCACAATTCTTTCAGTTAAGACATATTTTTGACACACGCACATAACAAATACGCGACTTACTAAAATTCGCTTAAATAAGGCATTTTCCTTTGGCGGTAAAGGATTACTTGACGGCATGTCCTTATTTTGTACACAAAATCTTCTCGCCGGGTAAAATTAAATGATACACAATTAAGGTTCAACCTCGTGGCCCCAAACCTCCTCCGAAGTCGATTGTAATCACGTGATGCACGTCATTCGTCAACCAAGTAGGTAAAGTAGAGACTATTTTTAGCATGGATACGAACCTCTTCCTTGTTGAATTATATACAGAGTAAATTGATTGTTTTGGACACTACTGCGGAATCATTTCGATGACATGCAGTGACCAATTTTAGGTTTTAGGTCACGAAATTTCACACAGTAAATACTCTATATGTACTGATCAATATTAAAAGTCACTTCTGGCAACACTTATTAAGTAATGACAACTTAAAATTGGTTACTGGCTCTCTTCGTCTGACAGTATTCTATTCTATTCTCAGGGGAGCCCGACCGGGCAGCACTTAGGCACATCAGAGGCCCATTGTGCCTACCCCCTTTCTTCGCAACTGAGTTCATCAGAGCCCGTTCCTCTCAATGAAGGGTAGGACCCTGTTTAACCTAAGTTGCTTCACTCTCCTCGGTTCCAGGTATCTGTCTCCAAGGAGTTGATATCTGTCCCTGATCAAAGCGTCACAGTGACAGACCACATGCTCGGTAGTTTCATCTGCCTCGCCACAGAACCTGCACGTGGACTCCTCCGCGAGCCCAATGTTATGCAGGTGATAGTTGACCATCCAGTGTCCCGTAAGGACACCGGTGATCTTCCTAATCTGGCTTCTATTCAGTTTTAGAACGTTAGAAGACCCCGATTTGCCAAGGGGCCCTGTTAGAAAGGCCTTGGACTGTCGGAGTCCGGTTACTTGTTGCCACTGAGCCTGGAATTGACTGGTCAACCAATCTTTAATTCTGGCCCTAACAACGGAGGGAACAATCTCTAGGGTAGGCTCGGGCCCGACGAAGACCCCACCTCTGCCTTCGCGAGCCAACTCGTCCGACCTTTCGTTGCCCCCTATTCCGCAGTGCGCTCTGGCACCCAAATCAAGCTTACCCTGTTAGCGTTGAGTGAAGGATCTAGATCCTTCACTCAACGCTATTAGACTCACCTAATCTATCTAGGGTTCGCCTACAATCAAGCGCCGTAGCTGATCGGAACCTTTCTACCGACAGGGCCCTCGACGCCGCCTGACTATCGCTGCATATGTATATATGCTTATTGCGGTAACCTCTACCAAAGAGTAATCAGTACTCTTTGCCTCTACGGAGGTTTTCCTGTGCACAGGTCATGATGGCTAACATCTCTGCCTGAAACACGGTGCTATGCTGACCAAGGGAGACGCTGACGCTGACTCTCGGTCGATCACCATACATACCCATGCCCGTTCCCCTTTCTGTTTGGGACCCGTCTGTAAACCACACGAGCCCCTCAGGTTTGAGGAACGGGCAATTCGAGTTCAGCCACTGCTCCCTATCCGGGAGAATGACTTTATAACGCTTTGGTCTTAGCAAGATAGCCCGGATCACGTCCCTCCTTGCGAGGAGGGGATCGGTCCTGAGGGTTTCCTCCCAGATCCGCCCGTGCCCAAGGCTGCCTCGATCCTTCCATTCGTCCCAATCGTTTAGCCGTATGGAAGCTTTCCGAGCCACTGCCTCCACAGTAAAGGCTCTAGTCCCAGAAATGCCTCCATGGCCAAGGTTGGCGTGGTTTTTAGGACTCCAGTGACTCCCAGACAGGCGAGTCGCTGGACCTTTCCTAGCTGCTTCCTGTAGGTTACCCTGCGCATGGCAGGCCACCATACAAGTGCACCATACAGTATTATTGGCCTTATCACTGCAGTGTAAAGCCAGTATACCAGTCGAGGGTTCAAGCCCCATGTACAACCAAAAACCCTTCTACATGCCCATAGACATGCAGTGGCCTTTTTGCTTATGCGCTCAATGTGCCCTTTCCAGGTCAGGCGAGAGTCAATGATGACTCCCAGGTATTTCACTGACCTGGCCAGACCCAGTTGACGTCCTCGAAGAGCGAGTCCAGCAAGATCCGCTCTTCTTCTATTCGTGAATGAAACGACCTCGGTCTTTTCCGGGTTAACGCCATGGCTACTGCACCACCTGTCCACCTGTTCAAGAGCCCCCTGCATGAGCTCTTTCACGATGTTTGGAAACTTCCCAGTTATGACGATCGCGAGATCGTCCGCGTATCCCTGTGTATACGCCCCCCCCTCGTTCAAGGTGCGGAGGAGCCCGTCTAGTACCAGGCACCACAGCAGTGGAGACAAAACCCCACCCTGCGGACATCCTCTAGTAACCGCATGGCTCGGATCCATCTTACGATCGACCCATCAATACCAAAGCTCTCAGCAACCTCACTAATCGAATCGAACGTGGTGTTGTTAAACGCGCCCTCGATATCTAAAAACGCTCCCAGAGCTATCCCCCCGGAAGACATTCCCTTTTCCAGCCTGGTCTCCGTGGACATACCAGCCCTGTAAGCATGTAGGAACGGATGTAGTGGTCTACTAACCAGTACGCCATTCCTTATGTATGCATCCACCAGCTTCTCCACCGTTTTTAGAAGAAACGATGATAGGCTGATGGGCCTATAGTCCTTCGCCACATCATATTTAGCACGACCCGGCTTAGGTAGGTACACAACTCTTACCTTCCTCCAGCTTTCGGGGATATACCCTAAAGCCAGAGAGGCTCTGAAGATATGCAACAAGTGTAAGAGCAGCGGCTCCAGGCCCTTCTGTAGAAGAGCCGGGAATATCCCATCCGGTCCTGCACTCTTAAATGGGCTGAACGTGCTGACCGCCCATCTCAGAGATTCCTCGGTAACCACCCGGGAAGCTACCTTCCAGTTGATCGGCCTTACACCGACCCGAGTAGCTCCCTTTGATGGGTCCGAAGTTAAGTAGTCCCCAGAGCCTGGAAAGTGTGTTTCCAGGAGACATGTGGGAGCCTCACCCGCGGTAGACGTATATCTACCGCATGGAAGCCTCAGTGTCCCCACCTTTTGCCCCGGGTCCTTCAAAAGGATTTTACGAAGTTTTTGAACTTCAGGAAGACCTTCCATGTTACCACAGAAAGTTCTCCAAGATCAGTGGAAGAGAATGTGCCTGTGGTCCGAAAGCGACGGCTCATCAGACACTCTCCAATTCGTGATCATGTGAGCTATTGAAAAGGAGCCCAGCGTCAGATCAATTAATGACCTCCTGCCTCCGCGCTGTGACGAAGTTAGGGGCTGCTCCCTGATTTAAAACATTCAAATCAGTTGTTTGCAAGTACTCCAGAAGGTGGTCGCCCCTCGAGTTCGTGTCCGTGCTGCCCCACACAACATGGTGTGCGTTTGCATCACAGCCAACCACAAGAGGGAGCCCACTACTTCGACAGTACTCTATCAACTCAGCCAGCTCCTTGGTTGGTGGAGCCCCTTCTGAGTCGTACGGGAGATAGGCGGAGCAGACCACCAAGTGCCTGCCCCGTCCTCTGTCATCTTTCAGCTGAAGTCGTAGAGCTACGAGATCCCTGAAACAAAAATCAGCCATTAGATAAGACTCGATTCGTCTATCGACATAAATGCAAGTCCTCGGGTTCAGTTGGCTGTCCCTCTTATAATAAAGAGAGTCCTCCACCTGGCCCAGACCTCTTACTCGTCCCTTGTAAACCCAAGGTTCTTGTATGAGGCAATAGGCAATAATAGGTTGACGACCTATTAGACAGGTCGCCCCCTTACTGTGCTGCAAATTGCTCTGTAAGAAGGTTACTTTGTCCATCACTGATGTACTAGGTTCCCTCCTCCGTTAGCGATGCCGACGGTTCCGACCCCTGGTCGGAACCAAGAACCGCCACACGAGCCAAAAGCTCGCTGACATCTTTCTCGATCTCTTCGGGCGCGAGCAATCCCGCCGCCTCTTCGAGATCAACACTACGAGGTTGGGCCCCCTCCGTCGCAACGGAACTAGGTCCCGCTGCTTCGGTGGAGCTCTCTCCCTTACCTTGCGCAGCCGGAGCACCCGCCTTCGTCACAAAAGTGACGCGCGAGACCCCCGCGTGCGCCTGGAAGTTCTGTCGCTGGAGTGCCTGATAGGACGTCTCATCGACACCAAATGCGAGGAGAATCCTACCAGGCTCCTCCCTGCGAAAGAACGTCCTCCATAGACTCGTCCTGAAACCAGGATTTTGCCTCTGGCGGCGCTTCAAAATGGTGTCCGTGTCATCCGGGAGCCCGTACAACACAGCCATCACCTTGGTTACCCTCGGGACGTGCCTCTGAACTTTCAGCGCGCCATCCCAGGGCCGGATAAGAGGGACGGTCCTCTCCAACCAGTCCAAGGTCCACTGGTCCTCGCATTCGGCCACGATGGCACCCTGCGGATTCCAGCGGAACCCTGCCAGCCGAGGAAAGGGCCCTCCCTCCATCTGGTCTACGACTGCATTCAATGCAGCCATAATGCACCTCGACTGAGCCTCAGAGATGTCCACCTCCGGGTATGAAACCGGAACGACGGCCACCTTAAGCCCTGCCGCAGCGACTTGCCCATAAGTTCGTGGTGCACCCTTGGGTGCATCAGAACCTCTAGGCTTCTTCTCAGGCTGCTTTGAGCCAGACCCTGGAGTGCTTCCCTCTGATCTGAGACGCTTAGTCCCTGACGTCGGGTTGCCCCCCTGAGCCAACGACCCAGACGCAACCTTAGGCTTTGGCGCAGGGCCCGCTTGACCCGAGGTTTTACCCTCGAGCCGGCGCTTCCTGGCCATCGCCTTCTGTGCGCCAGTCCTATTCTTCTTGCGAATAGGAGCTGACCCACCACCAGGTCCTTGGGTAAGGCCCTGCGTTGGAGCCGTCCCCTCTTTCGAGGAGCCTGCCCCGTTACCGGACCCCTTTTGAGGGCCCGGCTTGTTGGTCCCCTCTGACGAGGAGCCCAGAAAGGTTTTGTTAGAAGATTCGTCTGGCAGTAACTGTATGTGTATATGCTTATGGCGGTAACCTCTACTTAGATTCTCCTGTGCACAGGCACCGATAAAATACCTTTATTTGTGTCACAGGTCAAAATGACTAACATCTCTGCGATATGGCACTATCTCTCGGTCGATCATCATGTATAGACCCCTTTCCGTTAGGGCCCCATTTGAAAACCACACGATCCCCTCTAATTTAGCGTGGCTTTGTAACTTTATTGAGACAGCCCCGATCAGATCCCTTTTTGTGAGGAAGGGACTGCATCTGAGGATATCCTCCGAAATTCGTCCGTGCTCAAGGCTGCTTCGATCTTTCCACTCCACAGTTAAGTGTAAGACTTTAGTCTCATAATTGCCCCCACGGACGGTCGCACTACGGTGCAAAGTCAATATACCAGTCGAAGGTTTAACCCCCACGTACAGCCAAAAACTTCTTTTGGATTATTAAAATTCCGCAGTTTACAGCTTCCGAAAGAAAGGAGCCATCGCTCTAGAGTCCGGTATCCAGAGGGGCCTCGTTGCCGACACCACCCCAGTGCCACGCAGTCCTCGCAAATTCCTTAACTTGGGGGGTTGGCCCACGACGGCGACTTCGTAAATGTCTGGAATTTATTGCGCTACAAGATAGGCAACAGGTAGGTCTTTCTCCTTAGAATGGGAATTATTTTGATTTTCTAAGTTAAAACAGTTTTTCAGGGCTGCTTCCTGTGGGTTCAATTGAAATGGAAAACTGTGCAGACCATTGATTTTAATAGCCGGGTGGAGGGGGGGGGGGATTATATTTTGTTTTTCATAGCTAAGGTGCATTTGGTTCAACGATCAGAAAAGTGTGAGAATTAATTGTAATTCTTTTCCCACAAGGACACAGTCGAGATAAAAGCACACATAAAATAACTCTGATGTATCAATGTGAAGTGTACTTGCGTCATGTTGGGACCTTTCTAGGTTTTTGGGCACGTAAACACGGACAGGTGGACAGACAAACATCATTGTACAGGACCTAACGCTAATAAGTTTTCGTTTTGGATCAGTTGATGTACCTATACCATTGTACCGCAAAACAATGGTAACTTTGCATACAATGGCTACAATCACACGCATAATTTAAAATAAAAACAGGTGAGAAGGACAATAATATTTTAAATGTACTTTTCCATTTTTGTCGGACCAAAAACTGTACAGCTGCAAGGATTTATAAGAAATCCAGTGAAAACGAGACCGGCGCGTAGTTTTGTGGGAAAACCAAACTTTCACGTCATTTTCGCGCAACCGGAGAAAATATACAATTTTAATTACTAATTAGAGTAGTCGCAGGTAGGCTGGTTTGAGAGCATGAACTCGTTTTCTTGTAACAGTTTTATAAATAATTAGTTACGTAATTTTGAACTTGGATTTTGGACTATCAACTGAGGCGGTAAACGTAAGTAAAATGCACCAATTACAATTACTGTACGTCTGGTGGTGGCTATTGGAAGATTAAAAAGAGGGAAATCTATTGTGCACGAAAGGAAGTAGGGGATTAATACTTCCTGAGTTGGTAACGTACGCATTTGACTTTTGGTAATTGTTTGGGTCGGAGGTTGGAGGGTTAGTGTGACTGCAAAGTGGTGAAAGAAAATGTGCGTATTCACCCTTCAGTAGTGTTTATGTGGTGAAAAGTATCGGCTAACAGTCCAGGTGGATAAGTGCTTCGATTATTAATCACAAGAACCTCCCTTACTTAACGTAGAAATTAGCTGCATGGTGCTCCCTTAATGCATATTGCACACATTAACAAAAATGGTATTAAACTACTTTTTTTTGTAGATATAATCAACACACGCTTTCTTAATTATCTGCAATTACACCAGTTATCCGAGCTGTATGTAGTAATTAGGCAATTATCTGTGAGAAACGGGCTTCCGTCTTGTTATCAGGCTGAGGTCACAAACGAAGGATGTGGTCGATGTATATGATTTCGTAAACAATGTACTTCAATTGAATATCCTATTAGGATTTAATTATAGCCTGTTAAACGACATATCTTTTTTATTGACCTATTTCGGGTCAGCGCAGAATTATTTTGTTATTTATCATATTAACGTGGGTTGATAAGTTACAAGTCGATAACAGTAGCACGTTCATTTAATTGCATTTTTTGTTTGTGGTGAAACACCTTGGATAAAGCTGCCGTGAAGGTTGTAGTGATAAGCTGCAAAACCACAGTTGTACATCACAATTTTGTAATTTATAATTTAGTATTGATATCATTTGCTTTGTTTTGATGAAAATAGTTTTTTTAAATAATTTATACACAGTGGTGTAGTGCCAAATTTAGCAGTGCCGGAGCTCTTAAAATGTAGGCAACCAAGGGTATCGAATACACCCCCCCCCCCAAGCAAAATTGGGGTCCAGAAAAATTTAATGGGTTTTGAAACAATTTCAGTTCGTACATTTTTGAATAAATTATTGCTCTAAAGGTGTAAGGCTTATCTAAGTCGCACATATCATTAGTTATCATCACTTATCTTATCTCCGTCTCCTATCCTGTGCCGGAGCGCCGCTCCCCTCTCACAAGCAGTGCCGGAGCAGCGCTCCGCTGCGCCCCGGCTCCACTACACCACTGTTTATACACCACTCGCTGCAATTCTGTCCACGTATTTTGTACAGGATTAAAAAATATCGTGATATTTAAATAGATATCAGATTGAAATTTTGAATTGTATAATTATTCTTCTGTTAATCATATTGGAACAGTTTTAATTTTAATTCACATTGAAATTGCTGCGACGGATTATGGGAGTACAAAAAATAGTAGGTACTTATGTACCTCGGAACTAAAAGTGTATCCTAATCCTTCCAGGTAAGCTATAAATAATTAAATTCATTAAAAAATAACAACTCTACCTTAAAGAGTATCCAAGTTGCTGTGGAGAATAATAAATAATAATAAATTGTCTTTTATTGGATAGTGCATAGAATAAATATATAACAAAAACGAAGAAATAACAAAACATAATGTTGACACCATCCAATGGGGTACTATGACCACACATCTGCTTTTCCACTTAACCCCTCCAAATTAATTAACTAAACAACAAAGTGGATGAAACTAACTACATAATAATGTGAAGTGTATGATTAACATACATATGGGACTGACGATTGAACAAAAACATCAAAAGAAAATAATAATAAAAAACATGTTTCGTGTGTTGTTTAACAACAAGATCTTTAATAGAATTCCGTTTTATGAAATGGTATAATGGAATTGTCATACTCTAGGCCAAATATTAACGCCAGAAAAAATAGTTTGTAAAATCGAAAAATCCAATTTTTTGAAAATATTTCAAAAAGCAAAAAAATTTCGAGGGATTTCTAAACGTCATCTTAGATCTTTGATTGTGCGACTTTTTTCCCATAACTAAATTTGTATCTTTTACCGTTTCTAGAATGCCCATAGTTGTCTTGCTTACCTTGGACACAGTATTATATATTGTATTGTATTGTGTGTATGAGGGTTAGGCAGTATCTCGTTTAAGCACCAAATCCTCTAAGGATTTTTCTGCTGCCCTTACTCGTTTTAGAGTAGTTTTAACCGATTGAAGAAACCAATTACTGCTCTGAGGTTTAGTTCCCCTATCTTGTGTGGATTCAACTTGTCCCTTTGCCATACTTAAACAGGCTAACATTTGTATGTGCTCTAGCTGTTTTTGTGCAGTTGTTTGCTCAACATATACGATGTCAGCAAAAAAGTTATTGGACTTAACCTCATTTTTTAAATAGAACATCCTGTATATTTTAATCTAAAAAGATAGCATATTAAAATTTTCTTTTCTACATATAATCGCAATAAATAGGGAAAAAAAATTCAAAATGATTAAAAAAGAATTAAAAAACTTAAGAGAGATTCAAATATAAAAAACAAAAAATTAAAAACTGAAATTTTTTTAATTTTTGAAAAATCTAATATCGCATTTTTTAAATTTCTTTAGTGTTATACTTTTAGAAAGCGAATTTAACATGCTCTTTTTCGAATAAAATATATAGAACGTTCCACTAAAAAAAATGAAGTTAGGTCCTATAACTTTTTTTCCTGATGCCGTACACTTATTTTAAAACAGCAGAATATTCAACAGTCATGATAAAGAAACTTGTAAGAAACAACATCTTTCTATATGTCCTTTAATAAATATAGGTTTATTCTGAGATTGGCAATTTTTTGATTTTCCTATGTAGGAACTTTTAAATTGAAATATTTTAATCAAAAAGTTTCATATTAAAAATCTCTTTTCCAAAATATAACACTACAAAAATTCCATATTGATTTAAATAGATTCAAAAGATTTAAAAAACCGAAAGATCCAAACAATTTTTTGAAATTTTCTTGTATTTATCAAATCATTTGACATTTTTAGCTTCCTAGCATGTGCTAGGTAGCTATTGCGATAGCCGTTTTTTGAACATTTCAAAATTTCATCAAATGTCGACGTTTTAGACCATTTTAAGCAACTTTTAAAGAATAAAATTTTTTTCCGTCTGTATGTACGTACGTACGTACGTACGTTGGCAATTTTCTGAGAAAACGGCTCGACGGATTTTGTTGAAATTTTGTATATATGTTTTAGGCATACCGAACAGAAAAATAACGGGCCGGATTTTTGAAAAAAAATTTTGGAGCGCCGTAACGGCATCGAACTTTTTTTTTCAAATAGCAACCTAAAATTTTTATTCTATTATTTGGAAGACCTTATTTTCCTGTGTACAACCTACAAAAAATTGGGCCGGGTTATATTATCAAAAAACGGAGAAAAAAATTGTCAAAGTCAAAAAATTGTGTTGCATATGTGCAAAACGCAACGATCTTGTTTCTGAAGCAATTTAAACGAAATTTCTATGGTAAGTCCCTTTAATAAAAGCAAACAAAATTCATGCGCAAGAATCGTGTTGCGCATGCGCAGAAATGCAATTTTCTTATTTATGGAACAATTAAAACGAAATTTGGATGGTAGGTCCTCCTAATAAAAGAAAACAAAATACATGCGCAAAAAATAGTGTTGCGCATGTGCAACATCCAACTTTCTTATTTATAGAGCAATTTTAACGAAATTTGGATGGTAGGTCCCTCTAAGAAAAGCAAACAAAATGCATGCGTAAAAATTGACGTTTTAGACCATTTTAAGCAACTTTTAAAGAATAAATTTTTCCCGTCTGTAAGTGCGTACATATGTTGGCAATTTTTGGTTTCAGCTAGGAAGCTATTCTGTCAAGAATTTGACACCTGGTTTGAGCCCTTTTTGAATATCATCCTTAGTGTATTATATTTTTTAAAAGTTACTATGCTATATTTTTAGATTATTAAATAATAAAGGACGTTCCATTTAAAAAAACAAGGTTAGGCCCAATAACTATTTTGCCTAACCACCCGAGGCGTGTGATTGTACCTAAAAACAGGTGGGGGCATGCACGATTGCCAATGTGATTGTCAGATTGTTGCAACGATTGCGGGACTGCGAATAATAATAATAATAATATGGTCTTTATTGCCTCTTTGTGTATTCACATTAATCAAAGCAATGATTTTAGGGCGAAGTTCAGCCTAGGGCTGTTCTACCACTTAACCCTAGATTCGGCCAGTTTTACAATGAACTAGTAAAGCTTCATAAGGACCAATTTACATATAAATTAATATAACATACAACGCAAATTAACGAACAACAGTGGCACAACCAATGTAACTTAATTGTAACTTTCAGTAGATGTGAGGTGTTCAAGGAGGAAACTTTTAAATTTAGTTTTACTATAGTGCATAATCTCATAAGAGTATTTATTAAAAATGTGTACGGCAACATGGGAGAATGAACGTTCACGCAATGTAGTATTAGATATTGGAGGAGTTAATCTACCCTTAAATCTCAAATTAAGGTTATGCACATCTGTTCTAAATGTCAGTCGTCGATATAAATAAGCTGGTGTTTTCATATTAATGAGAGTGTGAATCTGATTGCGGGATTGTTTTGGGTGATTGTGAGATTGCAAACGCGATTGTGGGACTGTGAGGGGGATTGCCACACCAATCAGTGGGATTGCAGACAATTTGTAACAGTATTGCGGGAAGATGTTACCCCTCGGAGGTGGCCCTCTACGATCAAACATACGGAAAGACAAACATAAATGATATAAAGCAAGAATTTCCTAATTTTTACTGTTATCAAAAAAGCTTATAATATAATATAATAATGATTAAAAAAGAATTAAAAAATTTAAGAAAGATTCAAATATAAAAAAAACAAAAAATTACAAAAATTTTGAAATTTTTTAATTTTTTGAAAAATCTAATATTACATTTTTTAAATTTCTTTAGTGTTATATCTTTGGAAAGCGAATTTAATATGCTTTTCGAATAACATACATAGAACGGTCCACTAAAAAAAATGAGGTTAGGCCCTTTTTTACCTGATCCCGTACAGTTATTTTAAAACAGCAGAATATTCAACAGTCATTATAAAGAAACTTGTAAGAAACATCTTTCTATATCTCCTTAGGTTCATTCTGAGATTGACAATTTTTTTGATTTTCCTACGTACCTTTTAAATTAAAATATTTTAATCAAAAACTGTCATATTAAAAATCTCTTTTCCAAAATATAACATTACAAAAATTCCATATTGATTCAAATAAATTCAAAAAATTTAAAAAACCGAAAGATTCCAAATTTTTTTAAACGAAATATTTAAAATTGTGTAACAAAGAAGAAAACAATAATTAACTATAACAAAAAAATTTTTTTTTGTGATTTTGTTGTATTTATCAAATCATTTGACCTTTTTTTTAATCTTTTTTGAGCCTTTTTTGAATATCATCCTTAGTGTATTATATTTTTTTTAAGTTTTAGATTATTAAATAATACAGGGCGTTTCTTAGAGTAAAAAATAAAGATAGAGGACGCATACGCTTTATTACCACGAACGTTGTGCTCATTCCGTAAAAAATTCCCCAGATTTACACTTAGTAAATTAAAATATTGTCATATACAGGATGTCCCATCATTATTTTTGGTACGTAGACTGAAATAACGTCTACAATATATTCAAGGCAATTATAAACAACTTGAATTATTATATTTAGACATTGGAAACAGTCACAATAAGGAGCAATTAACAAACACCGCATTTTGTATAAAACACGCTTACACCTCCGCACACAAACTTGGTGACTGTCGACTGGCCAGCTTCGTGGTGAAGGAAAGGCATTGAAAATGCCAGTGGCGCCCTCTAACGTTTAATCCTCTCCTTTTCAGGCTCCATTAGGAAATGGAAGATGAAGACGAATTCTTCGACACAAATTCGCTAGCATCGTACATATCCGTGGGAAAAAGAAGGCAGAAAGATAACGGATACTTGAGCCTGTCGAGGAACACCATATACCATTCGGCCGTCGACCTCGAAATGGAGAGCCTAGAACCGACCGTAACCAAAGACGATCAATACAAGGTGTCTAATAATAATAAAACGGTTACATATTCCGAGTGGAAAGATAGGGTATATTATTGAAAAAGTTTTTCGCACGTATTCTAAAATGGAAACTTTAATCTTCCTCGCTTACTTTATATAATATACCTTACTGTTCTATATTTGTATTATATAGATTTACTAATTTTTGGGGGAACTAACATTTAATTTCCTACACATTTCCAAAATATTCCCTATTTCAAATGTACCTGCACCCTTGGACAATTTTTTAAACATTTCCGACATTTTCAAATCAAAATGGTACACATCTCTGGAGAATCTTTGCTTCACTTTGGGTGTTTAAAAATGCTGTAGGATCCCTATTAAATGTGCATCAAAAATGGCCCTGACAACTATTAGCTGTAATAGGGGCTCTACTGCATTTAACGCTCTTACAAGCTAAAGGACCACACTGTACATACGTTATTGACAATTTTCATTTAATAAAGCTAGGGGAGAATGCACACAAAACTATTTATGAATTTCCCTCGGAATTTCCCACGCTTCGCATGTTTATAGTACATTTTCAGACAAGTGACAGCTCACAAATTCCTGAAAGGGGTGTGTTTCATTTTTATCGTTTAAGGGTGAAGTTTCATTATGGTTAGTACATTGTCTCCAAGCTTGACTTTTAACTGTTTGTACGTACCGCTGGGGATGCATTTCTCTAAAATTGAGGAATCACATCGGTCGTATATCTCTAAATGTATTTCTGTTTCGAAGTAAACTTAGGAGCAATTATTTTTTAGACGTGGCGGTGTTTCACCAAAAGCGATTTAGTTGTAGATTTTGTGTTGGCATACGAAGATGACGGTAACATAAGGAAGGCGGAGGTGAGGGATGTGTTCGAGAAGCGCCTGGAAGATATTGGTTTGATTCTCGAACGCGAGTCATGTCAAAAGATCAGTTTTGTCAAAATTCACGCGCCTCACGAGGTGCTGTGTACGTATGCCGAAATTCTCAAGCTGCGTATGCCGATTCGGGATGATGTAAGTACATTCCGGACGCAGCTTGTGTCGTTAACTTTAATATTTTAGAGTAGAGTACAAAAGGAGGAGCCCAATTTAATTAATTCCATGGTTAATAAAGCGCTAGATTACATGAACGTTAAGCTCGACGAGGAAAAGTTTCCACCGGAGAAATACGTATTGCAATCCGTGTTTTCCAGAGAAAAAGATTATTTGCAAGTGCTTACATGTCGGCGGCAATAAACGTACGCTAATTCGCGTTGTTGTAGGTTCGACACAAAAGCCGATCACTTCTTCACCACCTCGATACGAATTGCTGTCGTGTGGTATATTCTTGAACGAGAGAAGTTCAGTGTGGAAGAGCACGATACAGGCATTAAAAAATTAATCTCGGATAAAATATACAAGGCCGCGTATCCCTTGCATGATGTAAGTATTTTTGTCTTTTGAAAGTTTGTTTATTTTGCAATTGACCACAATCTGGATTTAACAAAGGGCTCGTTTAACGGCGTAGTTACATTTACAAAGGTCTCACTTGCATAAAATAAAATTGAACCTCTACGGCACTGGCATGAGACAATTTTTAATATGCCCAGGGCTAGCTCAGTAATAATAATAATGTCTTTTATTAAGTTACATACAGTTACATTACAGTAAATGACATATTTCAAAATTAAAGTAATGCATCTTAATGGGCGAAGTGCCAATTCTGCTCTTTCACTTAACCCAATCGTTTAATAAATTATGACAGAAAAGATTATAACACAATACACCTCGCAATACGCAATGGCTCAAATAATAACAATAATCAATAAAAAAAAACAATTAAATTAAAAAAAAATTAAGTTGAAGTGTTAATATACACTTCCTATGATGTGGAGTACTGCCATTAATTAAAATAGTTGCCGGTCAAATGTGGTCTGGCGAATTAATTTTTTTAAATTTAGAGGTATCTGATTTTTTAAGTACGTTATCAATTGCGTTATAAGTATTCGCTATACAATAACTAAAGGCGATTTAATTAACGAAACAAATCTGGAATTACTGCTAAGTTCAATTTTTTTTTTGTTCTGTACCGGGATACAATTTAAGCATTTTTATTAATTAATCTCATTTTCCCAATATTTGAGGTTATGGACGAGATTTTGAAAAACGGTTTTCACTGGCCTCTTTGGATGTTATTTGGCTACTTTTTCATAAAGAAAAAGTCATCATTCCATTTGATTTTTTTAGGATTTTGGGTTATGGTGTCAAAGCTAGCCCCCTGGCGGAGAAAGATTCAACTAAATTAACTATATTTTGGTCCATTCTTATTGCCCAAGGAATACTCTTTTCAACGATACCAAATTTGTAAAAATCGAGCAGGTTATTCCAAAAACAATTGTACGCCCCGCTCCACACCATCTTTGTTTTTGAAATAACTGAGTTTTTTTTTACGAAAATGATAGTAGATAAACTGGTTCTCTTTACAAATGTGAAAAAAAATGTAAGTTTATTATGCGAAATTTAAAGAAAATTCAATTTTAAAATGTAAAATGGCAGTTACGCCCTCTGGTGGTTATTTTTAGAACATGAAAATGTTTTCCAGCGATTCTTCATGACCATTGGTCTATAACGCTCTCCGTGTGCTAACGACAGCGTTCCGGCGTATGTTTCGTCAGCGCACGGTTCCATATTTGGAGGACCTTGCCGTCCTCATACCCATCCTCGCCTATGTTGGCAGTGGTAAGGTGACAAGCGTAAAACTTCGTGGCCGTACTCGCGCAATTGCTCATCCATCTTGTACTGCTTGGCTTGTGCAAATCGTGCTGAAACAGTGATGGCTGATGAGACAGCTGTGCATATAGTCCAAGATCTCACATAAGGTACATTTTTTTAACAATCTTGATATGTAAACACATCGCAAATGGGTTGCCTAAAAAATTAAGTCAAGACTACCCGTTAATTAAAATTAATCTAATTAATATTTCTTTCTGCTTTTATTACATGGAACACCCTTTATTTCAAGAGATCAAATGGACGTAGGGGTCTGTAGCTGAATTTTAAAGAGAAAATTACCGACACAATACAAAATTCAGTTATCTTTAATCGTTGGCCGGTAGCGGGCGTTTCACGAATGTAGTCGATTTCTTTAATGCCCCATAACTTTATTATTATTAAAAATAATTGATCTTTCTTAGGGCACTTTTTTATGTAGAATCCATCGCAATTCACAGTTTTTAATTTTTATACAGGGTGTTTGGTTTTTCATATACCAAGAACCATAAAATTTCCTAAATTTTGACGTATCACTTATTATATTTATATTAAATAGTATTTCTAATATTGCATTTTATACATTAAAATATTTTTACTGTAGACATCTAGGTTTCCATTGCGAACAAAAGATGGCAGGATTGTTTAAATGACAATTTTTCGGTTATTTGGAAATTTTTATTTTAATGTATAAAATGCAATATTGCAAATAATATTTAATATTTATTTATTTATTTATTTATTACTCCAAAATATATAGGATGGTCCATATCAAAAAATGGAGTTTAGGTCTTTTTCCCAAGAAAATTGATGCATAAATAACGATTTTGAGCGATTTTGGGCAACAGCGTGATAGAGTCCATGATGCCAAAGTTAAGTTTTGATAGTCGGAACGCATAAGCTTTCATATGGCGAAAACCCGAAGTCGATACGAGGTCTGGGAAGTAAATTATAGCGCGGAACGGTGGACAGAAGGGCGGAAAAGTGAGGACATAAGCGCTACACTTTTGTGGGTGGCGCTAAAAAGAGGTGAACACTTCGTACTTTACGTTTACGATTTGTATCTGTCGCAAGTACATATTGTGAATTCAAATGAACCGGTTTCTATTTCACCAAAGTAAAACTTGAAATTGTAATTAAGCAATAGCACTGTGTTAAATTTTCCCGTTTATTAATCAGGTTGCTAAAAAGGTTTCCCTCGTCCCATAATTTACTCTCAAACTCCTGCGTTCTTATCGAAAATTCACGCGGTATTATCGCTAGACATACTTTTGTTCACGTTCGCTATGAAGCGGTACATATATTCATTTTCGTATACCGACAAAATACAAATTTGACAAATTTTTGAAACGGCAAAAGCGATCACCTGTTACAGTGTACAATTTGTTATGGTTTAATCAACAGGTCCATTTTTACTTTCTCTTATTTTTTGCTTCTTGCAACAATTCCAGGCGTTTTTCGTGAGCTATGATTGTAAATAAATGTAGTTCAATTTTGAAAGAATGATGTTGAAATTTATTATTATTTCCAGGGCGATTTGTATACAGAGGGCTCCCAAAGACAGTTATTATTCCACGAATGGGCTTCGGTAAGCAAATGGATCAAATTTCAACCGATCGACAATGTGAAAGAATACTTCGGCGTAAAATTAGCTTTATACTTCTCCTGGTTAGGTTTTTATACACACATGCTGATTCCTGCCGCCTTTATAGGAATATGCTGCATTTTATATGGCGTTATTACGTTACCGAGCGATATACTCAGTCAGGATATTTGCAAGTCATCAGTTTTAATGTGCCCACTCTGTGATAGAAACTGTGATTATTGGCGATTATCGGATACATGCACAAATTCCAAGATTATATACGTAATTGATAATCCCGCTACGATTTTTTTCGCCGTCTTCATGTCGTTTTGGGCCGCCTTGTACTTGGAGTTGTGGAAGAGGTACAGTGCTGAGGTCACGCATCGATGGGGTCTGACCGGTTTCGATGTGCAATGCGAGCCGCCGAGACCGGAGTACCTTCGAAGGTTGGCGAAGACGAAGAAGCGCAAAGTGAATGTAGTCACGCAAGTTGCCGAGCCTGTTGTGCCTTTCTGGAGAGTAAAATTGCCAACTTTAATTTTAAGTTTTACCGTCGCCATTTTTTGGGTAATCTCGATGACGTCATCGCGTCTATTCTCACTGTGTATTTGCAGGTGTGTCTTGCTATCGGTATCGTTTTCGGAATTGTAATCTACAGAATGACTCTTCTAGCTTCGGACAAACTATACGCGGAGGATACGATTTACTACACGTACATTATGCCGGTTACCGCCGCCGTATTGAATTTGATATGCATCATGATTCTCAACTTTTTTTACACGTATTTAGCGGAACGGCTAACCGAGTTGGAGTTGCAACGTACACAGACCGAGTACGATGATAGTCTTGCCTTAAAAATTTACATGTTTCAATTTGTTAACTACTACAGTTGTATATTTTATATCGCGTTTGTGAAAGGAAAATTTGTCGGGTATCCCGCCAAGTATAACAGGATTTTCGGATACCGGCAGGAGGAGGTATAATTTTAATTGATCTCGCCTATTGGTAATCGGGGATAATTTTAGTGCAGTCCAGGCGGATGCCTACTCGAATTAACAATTCAATTGGCAATCATAATGATTGGGAAGCAAGCCTTAAATTCTGCCTTAGAGATGATTACGCCGTTCTTAAAGAAAATGTATAATTCGTTCCAAGTGAGCACGGGCATGAAGAAGCGGAGTAGTGAGGAGCACATTATTTGCTGTAATCAATGGACCGAGGATTATACGTTGTCCGATTTAGAGCCGCAGGGATTATTTAACGAGTATTTGGAAATGGGTAAGTTTGAATTGATCACCTGTCAAGTTCTCAGCCCTAAAAGTAGAGGGCCTTTTTTTTGTTAAAAGTTGCTTGTCAAAGCACTTTAGAAATTTGTGTGAAGCATCCCATAACGGATGTTACAATTTTACTTCTTCTCCTCGATCCTATCTCTGGTTAATCTTCCGATATCTTAATTAAATTGAGTGTGGTGCTTGTTATGTAATTATGTGGAACATTCGCCTGCTAACTGTCAGTCACTGATCCTCTTCTGGCCTCTTAAGGAAAGGGTAAAGGGATCAATAATAAGTCAATAATCTTTATTAAATTACGAAACGGTTCTTATTTTTTTTGCTGCGGCAAGATAACATTTGTAACACCATGGCCAACTAATAAACCAAATAATGTTGTCTTTGTTCAGTTGTTTTCTGTAAAATAATTCAATGTGTTAGAAACAAACAATTAAAAAACGCATTGGTTATAACCAATAACGCCTAACTATAGTGCCTTCACATTAACAGAAAAGTAATAAGTGAAAAACCAAACAACGCTGAAAGGCGACCAAATATATGACTATGCTAGACTTTATTATTTTATTTTATTAATTTATTTATTGTGCCTTTATTTTTGAGTGGGCTGGGTTTCAGCCAAGGCTGCTCTACAACACCAACCCACTATACATTTACAAAAATCCATGAACCCGGACTCGAACCAGGGACCTTTAGCACCACACTTCAGCTTCAACTGCACTGCGCCACATGAGCCGGCACTTATGGTCTGGTTATTGGCAGGTTCCGGTGAAAGAAGGAGACGGCTTACACGTCACCTTTTGGAAATTTTCGTTTCAAACGAATGCCGTTTGAGATGAGGAACTCACCTTCTATTTTTCAAGGTTAATAGATCGCCCACGGTCGGGAATTTGCAAAGCGAAACCGCTTGCGAGTTCCGAGCACTCCTAAAAGTGCTCGAGCGGTTTATCGCGAGCGCTTGGGAAAAGTGCTCGTGAGCGGAAAAAAACTCAAGTGCGGAAAAAGCGCTCGGGAGCGGCGCTTAATCCTTCAGCGCTTGAGGGCGGTTAAAAGCGCTCGCGAGCAAAAAAAACGCTCAGGAGCGGAAAAGAGCTCGCGATAGCGAAAAAAATGCTCATGAGCGAAAAAACCGTTCGCGGGTAGAACAAAGCGCTCGTAAACGCTCGAGTATCGAGCACCAGCGGCCGCTCCGAAAAGTGCTCGCGAGCGTTGCACTTTTTCGAGCAAACGCTCGCGATCACGTACCCAGCTTCTGCGACGATGGCTACAAATCTTACGATCATTTATAGGGGCGTTCCCCTTATCCAGCTCTTGGGGAGCGCCTGGTAGGGATTCCCCCCTTCAAGTCCCGGGACTTGGCTATGGTTCGGAAACGCACGGACGACGAAATCTGGGCGTGGTTTCTCGTTGATTGTTCCATTGATGTGGAATCGAAGTTGGCTTAGCCAGCTGATACTCTGTCACAGATCTACACATACACAGGATTGCTAACCTTATGCATTTTTTGAGAAACAAATTTAACGGTATACTTTTAAAGCGCCCTCTATTGCGGAGCAGTATAAAACATGTGTCGTTTAAAACTGTTAATATGTGACGCTTATGGATTACCGTTAGATGTCGCTGAAACAAAAATAAAGCTACAGTGACTTTATAGAGACAGTGGTGACAATAGAGTGTCTAATTTTTGATTGGTCGTTGAGATCGGCCGCCATTTTGCGTCAAATATCACGTGTTTCCGGTAATAGATATGCTCACGCGCATTCCCGCGCTTCTATAAACGTCACTGGTTGACAAACTTGAAGTACCGGTGCCATGATATTCCTACAAAAAATAGTATCATGACAGATGGCAAAATGACATTAGCGACTTCTGCAGTCAAATGCCAGAGGTAGACGATGAAATATTTGTGTTTCGATGGCCGTGAATTCAGTACCTGATTGTATTTCCGCGTGCAATTAGCATTGGAGGATAAAGGCATCGAAAAATAGCTGAAAACGAATGTGGCGGAACCTAATATGTGTGCCAATGCGGCAGCAATTGAGGATATTGTTATGTAACGCGATACCATATTCGACTGGCAGTGCAATAGCGTTAGACCATATGCAATAGCCCATCGAACAATTTCTATGAGTTGGATTCAGCGAAGAGGGTATGTTGACGAGGCAGAGTAAGACGTTCAATTGAAAGGATGGGTTTCAGAAAGCAGTTGACCATCCACTCAGGCGGAACTGTGGAAGGTGAAAGATATGATGCTGAACCCACTGATGTGTGCTCTGTGGGATGATCAAAAAGTGTTTTCAATTAGACTTAATGGTAGCGAAAATCATAATTATAAGTCTTTTGCTTAGACCAATTATTTTGTAATAAATTGATTGGAGAGGAATTTTGTGTTTTATTTAATAAGTGTAATAATCCCTTCTTCTTGATATTACTGTCTTTTCATTTACTTCACCTGCAAAGTTAGTCAAAATTTTACATTGAATAAATGTTCTTAATTCTGATATTCAGTCCAATTGTTATAAATTTTCATCTAAAAAGGAAAGATGTTCTCATAATTTGTAGGGATTTGTTTCTTAGTAGAAACAACCAAATTCATATTCATATTTACAGTTTTTATATCGCTAATTGTAATAATAAAACGTTTAGAAAATAGTCGTTCACAATGTGAACGCAACCACCGCGGCGACGCCGGTAATTTGACTGCTCCCTATGATATTGCGGTGTACGCCACACATGCCTACGTGTATTGTGTGTTGCCAACTTTTTGACGCAAAATGGCGGCCGAACTCCTATTGTCGCCACTGTCTCTATAAAGTCACTGTANTGTGATTTATAAACTTGCAGTTGCCGTTCCCGTTCGTTGTTCCCGTTGCCGCTTGCAGTTCCCGTTTCCTAACAGGCATTTATAAACTTTTTCCATTTGACAATTTTATTAAACGGTAGTTGTTGTTCTGATGACTTTTAAGGTGGTAAACAAAAAATGTTTCAAATATTCTTTTATATGTTATAGGTATTTAAGTTAATATGTAATGGACATAGATAGTGACTTATTATATGGAACCCTTGGTCTGCTCCTTTGCTCCTATATTGCCATTAAGTTGCGTAAAAAGCGCAGACAAAGGAATTTTAAGGTTCCGAACCCATTAATATAGACCGGGGGATAATGACAGATTTTCGGACGTGATTTCTTACAGTATGCCTCTTGGAGTATATTGAGGTGTGGATATTCTAACGTTAATAACACAACTATGAATGAATCACTCCGTGTTCTTCATATATCTAATATGCCGTCATTTTCTTCAGTATGCTACGAAGCTCTGGATAGGACACATAGGAAATTGTTTTGTAAATTACAGTTGTAACTGGGAATTATATATACTACCTAAATACATCTACGAGATGAAGTGAAAAACAAAGGGGCATACTGTATCAATACACGAAAATTTGTTTAACAATTTTGCAACTTCTGTTGCGTATGCCTGCACGTTTTACCATTGAATTTTACTGTCCCACTCGTTATGCCAATAGAGCATATAGATCATACGTTATCATAAACTGCATGGGAACGTAATGGCATTACTTAATTAATTAATTAATTAAGTTAATTAACTTTTATATATGAAGAACACGGAGTGATTCATTCATAGTTGTGTTATTAACGTTAGAATATCCACACCTCAATATACTCCAAGAGGCATACTGTAAGAAATCACGTCCGAAAATCTGTCATTATCCCCCGGTCTATTAGCAATCTGGTTGTATGTGTAGAATCTGTTGAACTCTGTACAGACCAGTCACAGATCCGCGGGTGATGTTGTGTCGTACAAATTTTCTTTTTTCTTTCTTGGGAAATGCTGCAAAAATTTTCTTCGACAGCGTTAAGATGACTTGATGTAGGCGATGGCCCGCTTTGGGCTTAATTTCTTTCTTTCTCTTGCACGATACGCTTCGCGAGAACTATTGGGTAGGTTCAACACCGCGTATTCCCACTATTTTCACTCATATTTATACCTACCCCATTTGATCTTACGACATCCTAAGTGCTTTATTTTTATTTTTCAACAGTTTTGTGACTTTTTATTTACCTCACCCCGAATATACATACATAAAGTAGCATTCATTATCTTATTTACTCCATTTACATCGGAAATAAAATTCTACCAGAAACAGTTGTGTAACCTCCTGTTTCTTCCAGTTTTACAATATGGATTTGTAACGATATTCGTAACGGCATTTCCGTTAGCGCCACTATTCGCGCTGATAAATAACATATTGGAAATGCGGCTGGACGCCCAGAAAATAATCAAGTACTATCGCCGGCCCGTGCCCCAACGCGTGAAAAACATCGGCATCTGGATGCCCGTGATGGACGTCTTGGGACGGATATCCGTCGTGTCGAACGCCTTTATTATCGCCTTCTCCTCGCACTTCATACCTCAACTGGTCTACTACCTTCGCAAGGGCGGCAATCGTGACATGAACGGATATTTGGACTTCAGCCTGTCCAGGTTCGACGTGCGACACTTTCTAAACGGAACTGGCCCGGAAAGAACCAATTTCAACGTGTCCGAGTGCTACTACACGGACTATAGACATTCCTCGGAGCACAACTACCATCGGCCCGTCGAATACTGGCACATTATGGCGGCGCGTCTGGCTTTCGTGGTCGTCTACCAAAATCTCGTCGGTTTCGTTATATCGGCCGTTCAATGGGTCATTCCGGACGTTCCGAAGAAGCTGAGTGATCAGATTAAGCGGGAGGAGTACCGTACAAACGAAACTATTATCAAGCACGAAACTGATCGAGCGAAAAAATTACGGAACAGTAAGTGCACTAGTGTCCGATATGGATTCATAGCGCTTTCTTTTAGGTACTCCCAATATAAATTCCATACCGGGATTATTTCCGGAAACAAATGGGGATTTGCACTTGGAAGGTCCTAGTACTGTGCATTTCCGAGGTAACCCCCGAAATTCTCTGTATCATGATGTGATCGATTCCTAATTCTTTGGGGGAGGGGAGGTTTGTTGTATTATTGTTACAATTAAGGTGCCTGTTTTATAGACTTAAGTTTTATTTATTGATCTAATTATAAGGTCTGATGATATATTTAAAAAAGTGTACTTAGTACTTCTCTTGCTTTGTGAAGTTGAATCTCAGCTTGTAGGGTTTCATTTCCCTACATTAATTTTTACCAAATCTCGTTAGTCTTTTGACCATTTTTACTCATTAAGAACGTTTAGGGGTATGCGGGTGTATGTCACACGATTGTTAATTATAGTAGTTTTACTTCTTCCATTACTTCTGTTAAATGTTTTTATAATAACATCTAATGTTTATTAAATGTTTATATTTTAAATTATTAATCAATAAATATATGTTTTGTACTTTTTTTACTAGTATTGAATAAATACTTGTCGATCAATTATTGGATTTGTCTATGAGACATAATATTTGCCTCTGGGAGCCTCAGAAGTGAAAAACGCTCATGATGGGATGAAGAATGTATGAGGAAAGCAATAGTTGAAACTACTGCTGCGAAAAAAAGGAAAGTAGAAAAAGACAGGCAGTTGACAGAGATGAAACGAATGCGTAAGCTAAAATTAAGTTTCAATTAAGCCAAATGAATATATTTATGCAAAAGAATGATGTACACACTTTAACTTTGTGTATTATTTATTTTCTATAATTAATAATAATTTATATTTTTTAATAATACTATTTATTTATATTAGAACCCTTAAAAACAAAAAAAAAAAACTGGAACTGGAACCGGAACCGAAAATTACTGAAGCCACAGAACCGGGACCGGCACCAAAACCCTTAAAAATAATTCTACCTAATAAGTGCGGAACCGGAACCTATATTTCATATGGGTTCCAACCCCTGCTAGTACAAAATAGTACACGCGGCGAGCGCTGTCGTCGGAGTGAGCGCGGTCTCCTGAAAAGTGGAGCGCAGCGCGAAGTCGAGCTGGCAAGGCGAACTGGTTTTGCAGCCGAGTAGCTGGTTGTTTCTTGAAGCGCCGTCGAAGCAGGGGACGCTATACGCTCGCATCGGTTGGCCGTTTTGACCAATGAGAGTGCACCACGTTTTAGTTTGATGCCGGATGTACAAGCGGCGCGTCGCAATAGATACCATTAACCAGAGAAAGAGAAATTGGTTGCGTCACGTGTTGAGAAACAACTCTTTGCTAAGTAGTTAAGTGGCCAAATCGAAAAACGACTCTGTTTCTTAGTTCTAACGGCATTTTATGAGCCATTTTGGCCACATGGTTTTTTAGATGTAAAAAAATTTGCTGAATCCGATTCTGGATGTTGCCAGGCCGAATTTTGCACTAGTTCACAAATACAGCACGATGGCGCCACTATCTATTGTATCCTTATGCCGAGCCTAAATGGTGCTATTGATTGTCCTGAAATTCTTAGTTTGGTGGATTTTTATGTTCCTAGGACTACATGCGTCACCAGAAATATACCAGGCTTCAGAATTAAACAATTTTCGAGCAATGTGTCTAGGAATAATCCTTTAACAAGAATTTTGTCCGATGCAAACTATTTTTGGAAATTGCCGTGGTTTAATCTGTTTAATTCTGATTATCAGGCTTATAAAATTAAGCTCAAACGTAATATTGATTACTAAATATTTTTTGTTTTTATTCTATTGTGTGATTTCTAGTTTTCTATTTGTATTGTTTAGCGAAGGTTTATTGGGTTATTGGGTTGAAAATCAATTTATGTTAAATTAGCTTAGAACATGTTTTTTTTTGTGGTATTTAATGTAACAGGTGAATTCCGTAAATATATTATTATTATTATTATTGTGTGCTATTTGGTATTAAATTGTTTTCCATAATTTATTACTTTTATATACGTAAGAGTTGGTTAATTAACTTCATAGCTAGTTCGGAAAATGTAGGAAAATGTATCCTGTGGTGATATATAGGGTGTCCCAAAAAAGCTGTGAATTAATTAAATTAGTGTTTTACATTTTCCTCGGCAAATTTTGTTTGTTATTAAATTTTGTGCTTTTTAATAACCGTTGGTAAATATTTAGGTTCTTTCCAACTATATATATAAATAAAAATTGCGTATTTTTCCAATGAATCTGCATTTAAAAAAACAAAACCACATCGCATTTTTCAGATGATAACAAAAATGTGACTTTGATATGGAACACCCTGTGTATTATTACATAATATGACAGGTTATTAAATTCTTTATAATACACTATAGCAAAAATATTTTAAATACCCAACATTTTCAAATTATTGATGCTCTCCTAGGACGTAGAGAGTTTATAATTTTGCAGTGCCTGTCCATCTGTCCCGAGATCTGTTCATTAGCACGATACCTCGAAAACGAATAGACCGCCGCCGATTATGATGAAAGTTCGGGAATTGGCAATGTACGTAAAAAAATAAAGAAGGCCGTTAGTTATAAACCGAATTGCATGAAATTCAATATGGGCATAGTCAAGGGCATAGTTTTAGCCATATAATATGCAATGCCAAAAGTTGGGCCTAATCAATTCTACATTTACAGTGCCCTTTTTGAATTGCAAACTTTTTTATTTATGAAAGTATTTAAATAAAATTTGATTCATAGGCACTTGGAATAAAAGCAAATCTAACACAGTGTTCAAAATTTGGTTTTTCACATGCTATAGCCACTACCTATAGTAGTATCTCGAGTAGTTTTAAATGGCATTAAATGTAAATTAATTTAGCGTTAACCACATTAAATTACATTAACTGAATTAACTTGAAATTAACTGCATTTACAGAACATATTAATGCATTAAAAGTTAATTTTAATTCATTAACTACTATTTGTACACCGAATTAACTAGGTGGTAAAACAATAAAACAGGTTAGCGCAATAATCGGTGCAAAATATCTAATCTTTAAACAGCCGATATTCAGTTTCTATAAACTTTTTTTAAAAAATGGTCCGAACATTTTGTAGATAAAGGTCTAAATTTATAAAATATAAAATTTATATATTATTAATATAACATTTTATTTTTCAAAAACAACTTGATTTTTTTAGGCGGACGCTCTTATGGAAACTTACATTGGGTGCAGTGGGTACAGAAAGGCGTAGAGTTGCATCATCTCATTATGCTGTTGCCGGGGACATTTTGTACCATACACATTGTCTCGCAAATGCGATAAGGGACACTGAAAAATCGAATGGTCAGACTAGTCCTCCTAAACACTTGGCTTTAAATAAATTGTGCTAGTTTCTAAAAGTGCACAAATATCTACAAGTGCCTTTGCGACTGCTTCCATCGTAAAAAAATGAGCAGAATGATGAAGAAATTTAAGTTCCGTTAAAATTTTTGAACGAAATATAGGTAATACATTTGCCGTCAGAATTATCTCTATATTGTTACCGTGTTGGCTGTATAATGTACCCAATATATAAGTTTTGCAATTTTCTGTGCTTCCTGTATGTTTTTTTAACACCTCAATCTGAAAAACTATGTAAAAAGCGTCTGGCATAAAAATTTATGTATTTGGCCGCCATATTAGCCGCCATTTTGAAATTAGCCAAAAATCGGCTTGGCAACATTCGAATTCGGGTTCAGCAGACCTTTTTACCCTTATAAACGCACGTTTCCAAAATGGCTCATTAAATGCCGTTGGTGAGTCGGGAAGAATATGAGATGCGAACGAAGGAAGGACCGGCTATTTGTTGGTGTTTGTTAGTTACATTTTCACGTTTGTTGGTTGAGCGCGTTATTTAATAATGCAAAATTCAAACATTTGGGCGTATAGTTAGCCCCCCCCCTCCCCCAAAACTGCAATAGGTATTTCATTTTTGAAAAATACTCGATTAAACTGTTATAAGTATATTAATTTATTTCAAAAGTTTGACACAGTCTTCACTCTGTAAATGAGTTCACTTGAAGGTTTCCCCTATTTGGGTACTATAGGTACTTATATAACACTTATCTTTCAATAAGTATTATATGGTGGAAATCCGCATTTTTCAAAAATACCCTCCCAAAAGTTATATACATCACGGCTCGGGTAATGTTTAACCACTAAATCATCGCCAATGTCCAAATAAGATTTCCTATCGCAAAACGTCGGCAAGTTGACTTTCTGCAGCGCGCTTTCGCGTCGCGGTGTCGGAGTCCTGAAGAGACTTTAGTTATAACGCATTAAGAAATGTCGATTAAACGTACCCGGTGTACGCGAAATTAGTCCACAATTTAACGAGCCTTTTCTGTACAAGGCGATCCGCTACCGTCGGATCGACCGTCCATTCCTCCTTCACCGGGTAGAACAGTTTTAACACTTCGCTGTAATGCCCCGCGCCTCCCGCGTAATTAAGGCTATTCGTACCTACGAACGAAAATACGTAAAAATAAATTGGATAGTTTCGGTATATGCCGCAAATCAAATCGGCCGACTTCTGGATGCCCCGTACATCTTGGCCCATCGTCTGTGATTCAATGATTAAACGTTATTGCTACGTGATGCTCGATGATTACCGCAATCCAATTCGCTTTATCGGTGAATGATCCATTGTGGAAGAAGAACTGGTGAATCGCGTCGACCGTTTCTTTGATACATGGATGTCCCGCGGGAATGTTCATTGATATGGGTATGAAGAGTTCTGGATTCTTCTCAAAGTCGTCAATGTCAATCGCACCAGAGTCGATGTCTAAAAATTAGGCACGTGTGAGGCGCCCTACTTCCCCCACAACTTACAGCCGTATGGAAATGATCCTTCCTCCGTTACTTGCCCCAGCATGTAAGGCACTTTTGCAAAATTGCCTTGTCGGAGTAGTTCAAAGGCTCGTTTTGACAAAAATGCGGTGGGGCTTTCGTGTTCGACGATGGGATTGAATGGCACTTCATCGTACAATAAGTAGGGACCCTACAATGTTGTGACGATGAGTTTTGATCACCTATCAGAATTTTTACCGTGATAGACTGGTTAAATGCGGTCTTGAGGAGAACATCAGCAGGAATCTCTTGTAATTGACTTACGAGTGTTGCCGAATTGGTATGGTCGAGACCAAGTGCGTTCGCCAATTGCCGGAGTTTTTCTCTTGGCTTGGTTTGGAAGACCCAAGTGCCGAACGTAACCCCACTTTGGCTTATGGCTCTATGGAACAACCCTTCGAGCGACGGTGAAATTCACAATTAAAAGTGTGTCTATTACCTTCACTTCTGCGGGAGAGCATATGAAATTGTACCGATGCCCCACCGGCGCTTCCCCCAAATATTGTCACCCTGTTTCTATCCCCACCAAAGCTGTGTATGTGATTTTGTATCCAAATGAGCGCAGCGGTTTGGTCTTTCAACCCCGTGTTTCCCGGCGCGTAGTCATCTCCAGTACTTAAAAATCCAAAGACATTAAGACGGTATTGAATATTTACTACAATAACGGCTTCTTCCATAAGAGGATCGGCTTGAGTTTCGTAGGATGTTGCAAATAGAAATGACCCACCGTGTATCCACACCATTACGGGTAACCTTCGATGATTTCTCCGGGCCTAAAACAACTGATGATCAGGCTCAAACATGAGCGGTTTCGCTTACAGTGATTGGCACGGCAATGTCCAAAGACAGGCAGTCTTCATCTCCAAGCACTTGATCACCAGCAAACTCCTTACTGAGTTGCACGCATCTGTTCCCCGGGAACGTGGCATTTCTTACTCTCGTCCATGGAGGTACCGGTACAGCCTCCTAAAACCCCAGTTAATTAACACCCGTGGGATATTCTTCGCCGAACCTGAAAACGTAAACTACCAACGGGTGCGCACCCATACGGTACGCCTAGAAAATGATAGAATTTCACATTCGGATTAACCCTGCTGGTTCGGAGCAGGCCGCGAATTTTCCCCAAGCTGGTTTGTAGCACTACAGTTTGCTAAAAAAAATTATTCTTTTAATTGGCGCGGATTCAATTACGCTTACAGCAACACTCGTCGCAAAAGCTATCAGCAATAGGGCGAAAGATTTCTTCATTCTTATGCGTCTGGCAAGATGGGCTGCGCCTGCGATAATAAAACGGAACTCGAGATTAGTTCTTGTTCAAATTTAACGTGATATGATAATCCTGTCAATAAAATCTTGTTCTACACAAAAAAATTTTTGAATTAAGTAATTCTAGTTTTTTAAAACCAGTTTATTGGCAAATATTAATTGCAATAACTTAAGGTGCCGCCGCGAAGGTCTGTTTTAATTACTTGGATAAGACATCATTAAATACCTACCTAAGATGTTGTTATCTACCTATGTACGTATTATTATCAAGTGTTAATTATTTTCCGCACTGTTGTCTTTACTTTTAGTGTCGTTCACCTTGAATTTGTGTAATAATTAGATGATTTCCTTATTTGACTAATTAGGTATTTCACGTTGAAGCGTTGGGGCGATGGTCTTGAGTAAATACAATATAGTCTCGCCTCTAAAACTGATAGAAACTCGACTTCAAAATGTAGCTATATTTCTGAAACTTGAAGAACTAGAAAAATTACATATTAAGAAATATAGTCGACAAACTACCAAACAAGTATCCGACAATCCGTTCTTGAGGTATAAGGGAATATACCCGATCTCGATAAGAGGTCGAGGAGGAGGGCTATGGTTGGTAGAAATTAATTCCTTTCGTTGAGACCTTTCTTTAGAGTACCATGAAGTTCCCCTCCCTCTTCTCCCCGTACTTTGATAAGAGGACAGAAAGAAGGGCAGTAGTTGGTAGAAAACGGTTCCTTTCGTTGAGGCCTTTAATTAGAATACAGTGAGAAATAAAATTAATTTGTAACCCCCCCCCCCCTCAGGTTCCGTCGCTCAGTGATTTTATAGAACACTTTTTGCTTAGAATTAATTTTTCTATATCTAGTCCTGTGTTAAAGTTACAATAAAAAATTCACCCACAGTGTGAAGCCCCCTTTGGAATGATATAGATTTTGATTCTTGGGCCACTCACTGGTGTCAAAATTTCAAGTTAATAGATTCATTTAAAAAAAATGCAGGGGCAAAACCTTCATTTCCTGGACTAAATTATGAACCTGCAAAATTCCATGGTAATCGGTCTATTCGACAGACAGACAGTTAAAATTAGAATTTATAAAATCGCTAGGAGCTTGTTAATTCGTTTATTTCCTAGCTATGGACATCAAAAGCATGCCTTACTAAAGATTTAGATTATAGATATCATGTCGAGGTTATTGCAGGATATTTAAATATTTTATAATTTAATTTGAGGTTTATTTTTGCTAGATATATTATTTTTAATTTTTTTTATTTCTTTATTTTCTGTTAATGAACGAAATCACATGGGTTAGATGGAACAGCAGAAATGGTATGTTTCATTCCATTACTGAATCTCGCTCTTTGTCCACATTTATATGTAATTAACCTAGGTACTTATTAAAGACATTTATTATTATTAAATAATTGAATGGTTTTGGTGAATGTAACCACCGTGGTCTTGGCAACCAAGCTCTCCTTTGGCAACGTTGTCGTGCACTGCACATGTGGGAGACTTGCAGATGTGTTGCATATTGACTCCCTCGGTACTACGCAAACGCAAGCGCGCTTAAATTTGAATTTGCTTTAACGCGCTCTAATTAATAAAGTCTTCGGTCATCACTGTGAATTCCAGTTACATTATAATCCCAACAACCGTCATGATCCTTTACAACATAATTTGGAATAAACAAGAATTGTAACGTTATTATTTATCATAATCAAAACCCTTCTACCATCATGGTGTACGGAAAATAAATTAACATATTCTACCAGATAAATCACTATAAACCAAGCTATAAACTATTGTGCTCCAATTTTTATACCTAGATCTGATGATGATAGATGTATATGAGTGTTGGGAAACAAGGAGTAGCTTTTTGCAATAGTTTACTCACCCTGGTGCCACAGTGTTGATCAACCTCATAATCACATGTTATGTTAGTAGCTTTGATTTCTTTCTAATTATCCAATATAAACAATATTTTTTTTTCGAAAACTACCCGAGACGTGAGATTGTAATTTATAATCAAGTGAGATCTCGACTCAAGATTGCATTCACTAGATGGTAATAGCCGAGGTAGCGAATTGAAATTTGTATATAGCCTGCGTTATTTATTTTATTGGACTGCAAGTGGTAGAAGTCTAGAGCAGCTACAATAGGTCTTGGTCAGCTTAAAGTAGAACTTGTGTGTACTTTCGTTTCGGTGTACATACCTAGAGCACTGAGGTAGCAGTATGTAGGTTGTGAGAGTGATGGAAAAAATTAATAAAGATATGCAAATGTTTCTTAAAGAGTCCTTTACCACATTTTGTAACCCTGTGTTGGAATCGGTCTCTGGGTAGCCTAGGAGTCGCCCCTATACATGAACATCTGCAGACGTTCAATTGTCCTTTTAGAATTCAACCCTATGGCATCTGTTCCAAACTGTGGGACCTTTAGTAACTATTTTCATTTTTTTCTGAAGGCTCCGGATTCCCTGGCGGTTTACACCATTGCAAATAACGCGCTATAATTTCCTTCTTTTTTTTAAAATCTGATGCCCAAATTTAATAACTAAATCATAAACAAATTATCTTTTTTTACTATGAATCATCATGCCCCTAAAATTTGTGGGGGTTACTTTTAAGATGGCAATTTCCGTCAACGGAATTTATAATTTGTTCTGTGCATTATAAGAATCACTGATTAGTTTTTCACAAAAGAAAAGTAGTTTTCTCCTAAATTAGTCTAGGCGATAAAGACATCTAACTGGACATTTTGGGGTGGAAAAGAAAAAATGGTGGAATATGTTCAGTTAGGAATCAGAAACAACATATTAAAAATCCCATCCCCCCAGACCCTGTGCTAAAGGCTCCAGCCACCCCACCACCCCCCAGAAACCGTGTTTTCGCCCTTTTTGACTGATATCTCTCGATCTATGAGGTCTAGATGAAATATTTTTTGCTGAAAAATGCTCCTCTTGAAATTTCTTACAAGGTAGATACTCAGAAGTTAGCCTAGGTGTACCTCTTAGCCTAGGAAATTCATAAAAGGAGGCGAAAATCATCAATTTTCGTGTTTTTTTTTTGCGGTTTTTTGCAAATATATCGCGACCTTCGGGGCTAGATGAAATATGTTTAGCTGAAAATGCTCTTCGTGCAATATCATACGAGGTAGGTAACTGAGGAATTGGCGTAAAGTCACCTTTCACCTTCAACTTTCATGTGTGAGGAAATATTCATTGTAAAACAAAGTATTTCTATGTGCCATTTATTCACGTAAAATAGTTATTTGTACAACTAGTTTTGAAATTTGCAATTTGATTAATGAGGAGTTAATAAAGCAATAATTCATGGAACAAAGACACTTTCAACACGTGTTGTACACGAAATTTTTTGCATAGTGATCCATAATTAACCCACAATTGAATAATTTGATTGACATTCGCAATTTACTGTCACTCAAAAGTTCATAGACAGGACTAAACTCCATGGAAACGCATAGTAAAAATCGTGAAAAAAAGTACCACTTTCCATACGATTTTTCGTTTAAAGAAGTCCGATAATTTCATCAAATCATCACTATGGAAAAAAACAGTATTTTCATATGAAACTATTCACACATTCATTTATATCTCAACGTAATCATTCTTCTCTGCGGATTCCACTTCTTCAGGCTCTTCGCCGTCCTCTAGTGGTAGTGGGTCGTCTGAAATTACCGACTCGTAGTTCTCCTCGTCTTCCGCTTTACCTGCATGGGTACCCTGAAGAGACGACGTGGCATTTAGGCACGATGTTCCATGACACTGGACGCACAGTTCGTTACATTTCAGACCTACAACGAGAAGCATGTCAAAAAAAATTTTATAATTAAGTATACCACGTTCACAGCCACATGAAATAAGTTTGAGGAGACTTTCCCGGGCTGGATCCGAAGTCGTTGTGATAGGCGTCAGGAAAGTCTCCTCAAACTTATTTCATGTGGCTGTGAACGTGGTTGCATGACTGCTTGCAGTTTCAGAAAATCAGGTACACCTTCTCCACCGGACACTTAGGAGTTAGGACATACGAGAGAATATTATATTCGTATACTTAATTATAAAATTTTTTGACATAATGCTTTTTGTTGTAGGTCTGAAGAACGAATACTGCGTCCAGTGTCATGGAACATCGTGCCTAAATGCCACGCCGTTTCTTCGGGGTACCCATGCAGATAAAGCGGAAGACGAGGAGAACTACGAGTCGTGAATTTCAGACGACCCACTACCACTAGAGGACGTCGAAGAGCCTAAGAAGTGGAATCTGCAGAGGATAATGATTACGTTGAGGTATAAATGAATGTGTGAATATTTTGATATGAAAATACTGTTTTTACGTGAATAAATGACACATAGAAATACTTTGTTTTACAATGAATATTTCCTCACACATGAAAGTTGAAGGTGAAAGGTGACTTTACGCCAACTCTTCAGTTACCTACCTCGTATGAAATTGCACGAAAAGTATTTTCAGCTAAAAACATATTTCATCTAGCCCTGAAGGTCGCGATATATTTGCAAAAGACCGCAAAAAGCTACGAAAATTGGTGATGATTTTCGCCTCTTTTATGAATTTCCTAGGCTAACTTCTGAGTATCTACCTTGTATAAAATTTCACGAGAAATATTTTCAGCTAAAAATATTTCATATAGACCTCATAGATCGCGAGATATCAGCCAAAAAGGGCGAAAACACGGTTTTTGGGGGGTGGTGGGGTGGCTGGAGCCTTTAGCACAGGGTCTGGGGGGTGGGATTTTTAATATGTTGTTTCTGACACCTAACTGAACATATTCCACCATTTTTCTTTTCCACCTCAAAATGTCCAGTTTGCCAATTTTACGGTCTCTATCGCCTAGACTAAATTGTGTGAAATCCGTGATAAATAAACAATGCCAAATTTTGTTTTAAAAGCGCTGTGATTGGACCATTTTTTAAAATCAGTCACGTGCGATGACGTCGTACCTTCTACGTCATCGCCTAATGTCACGTGACCCAGTTTTTAGTTTATCGTTGAAGCCGCTTACGCGTCCTATGCAGCTTTTTTCCGTTTTCTCTGAAAATAAGAACGATCATAACAAAATAAACGCGAGAAAATTAAAACTAAACACTTGGAAAATTGTGGCACGTCGTTATTTTCGGCCGGTCGTTAAATAAATCGGTGTTTTCAAACGTTTCAATGTTTGGTTATGATGGCGTCCCCTTCGAATTTAAACTCGCGATTGCGTGTTATCTCGATGTTTCTTGCATTGTTTTTCAAATTATAAAGTGCCGTGATATTAAAAATCAACTCTTTAAAGTAATAAAGCGAATTCGGAAAGCACATCGCTCGTTTCGGTGCCGTGTATAATTTCTTACCTAAAACTGGTGTTGTCTTGTGCAATTACGTGGGTTTCTGTTTCTTGTTTTGGATCAAGACGTCTATGATACGATTTCAAGAATATAGGTATCGACTTGAGGTAAGTTTTCAAACCTTTTAAAGTTCCATCATACATCTTACCGTACAGCCTTAACCTCGAAATGCTACATAGGTACCATCTCTCTTAGTCTGCGATATTCTACAATAAAAAAGCATGTTCAAAAGTTCAATATTTAGTTTTCATTTTGGTGTAAATGATATAATAACGAAATATAGTCTGACTGATCAATGTACGTATCTTTCGGTGAATTAAGATGGATGGCGATATGCTTGTTGATGTGCAGACCATACGGAAGATAAAACGGTAATTACATTGTACACAATGCGATGGTCAAACACACTCATTTACTATCTTCCTCGTAAATATAACGACATCCGCATCGTAGATTTTTGGAGTATAAGGTAGATTTTTATTACCGTCCAATGCCAATAATCGGTAGCAGATGTAAAAATTCTTTACTTTCACAACCTGTTGGAACGATCAGGATCAATTTATCTTGTAATACTATACAGACTCGAACCGTTACTTTTACAGTACTCCGTTTGAAATGAATTATAAGATCGTACATTTATTTTATTTCTGTAGGTGTTTCTTAAATGGAGGAAATTCACAAACATGGGAAACCTGCTCGGAATTGTGAGTTTGTATCTCAATCTCCTTTCGAGTTTTCTCCCATTCTTTCAAGTACTATTGACAGTGTAATCCAAAATGCATGTCAAGTCACTTGTTTTGTTTACATGGGAAATCGTACTTAAATTGAACTTCCAAAGGCGACTTGACGGCACCTCATTTTTGATCGCCCGATATTTCTGTACTTGCAAATTCAAACCACTTTAGTTGTTGAATAATGTCAACGATAATATCAATTTTATTCGCATATTTACACTTAAAGTAAGTCCGTAAAAATTATAAATAGTAGACTTCTTTTCTTTCTAGTCTAGAGGCGCCATTAGCCTCCTCCCATTCTATGCTTTGATGAATGATGTTGAAGTATTCTTGCTACTTAGGTCCATATCCCATATTGTCTTTATGCTTCCCCTTTTCTTCCTATTGTGAATTCCGGTGTTCCGTATTCCGGTTTCGCAAGCCGACTGTTTTCCATTCCTCCAAGGTGTCCAAATAAGCGTTTTAATTTTTGTCGTTCAAAGGTCTCTATCAGAGCATCCACTTCTTTTTTTATAATCTTACTAGGAATTCCACCAACTCCCCTTACTCTTCGCAAGTACTTCATTTCAGTAGCTTGTAGTCTGGTTTTTTGTAGGTCAATAATTGGTCTGTAACGTTATTGCTGTAAGTAGATTTCATTAACTATGTCTAATTAACTGTTATAGTACTTACCGAAACAGTTTCTTCCTATCGCCTTTGGCATATTCTAGGAATTCCTCGAGAAATTCGTAGCCATGTACTTGAAATGTAGATAACCAAATTCATCTTGATAATACCTACTACACCTACTTACAATTGGTAAGCAGGTAAACTAAATTTTCTTCAATTATAGCGTTTGCAGGTTATGTTTATTATTTGCACCAATCTTTATTCAATTGTTTACACTTGACAGTTTTACGCAAATTCAAATTTATGCGTTTGCGCAGTACCGAGGGAGTCAATATGCAACACATCTGCAAGTCTTTGTGGGAGGAGTTTTTGTGATTGCACAATTTGTTGTAAACAAAACAGTGAAAAAAGTTGTTTGTGCCTTTACAACGTGCCTACAATTTTGAAACTAAACTATCGAACTAAGGTGGGTAGCTTTTAGTTAACGTTTTTCTTTACTGCAATCCCATTTTGTTTATAAATGCATTAACAATTGGAGCTGACCTTGGCAACCTTCTTCTTCTTGCAGTGCCTCCCCATTCATCATGAGTCTTTCATCCGACATGTTCATTTCGAGCTTTCACTCCCTGACCGGTGTCACAATCGGTGAAAGACGCAAGCAACTGTTCTCGCTTCTGAGACAAGTCGATCCGTCGACCCGAATCGACTTTTCGACTCTTCAACCGCGTTGCCCCCTCGAGGAGTCGTTTAAGTTAGACTCGCTGGCGTACTTTCGAAGGCTGCCCGAACTGGTGGAGGTGCTGAAAGGCGAAAATCCGGCACTGATCGCGAAGGTCTTAAGGCTGAAGTGGTTCGTTTCGGCTTTGTCGACGGATTTGCTTGAGCTTTTGCCCGAGGTGTCGTTCAATGTTAAAGTGAAACTGTTAAATAAACTGGCCGTGCACTTACGAGACCGTCGACTGGCCGACTCGCTGTTTCGGTTAGTTCGGGAGAAATACAGCTTGAATTTAGCACTTAAGTTACTTCCGGCCTGTAGTGATGGTCTGATTTTGACGTATTTCGCCAGCCATTACAGGCAGGTTTTTCCGAAGCACTTGGTAATTGTATTAAGGGAGCGTAGCGAGCTGGCCGAACAGATTTTTGAAATTATGGCCGGTCGAGGGGCGTTCCATTGTGTCTTTGCCTACCTCACCCCGGTTTCGCTTGTTAATCTATATCTGAAGTATAAGTTTAGTTTTCGTCTGGGTAAAAGAGCGTCTCGTAAAGTAATCGAAGCACAGAAGGATTTGCTTATGGCAAATGCACGGGGTTTGCGCAATTTCCTTCATAAAAAGCAGAGTTACAAAAGTCTCGGAAATGACTTTGAGATTTATTATGCAAATCTGCTCCCGAAAAACATCCTTCACTTTCCCCGGGCATGGCCCGAGCTTACGAGCGGGCTCGGTTCATTGCCGGCCCATAGAAAGCTTGCACTGATCGAGAAATCATTCAAACGCGCTTATGGCAGCGACATTTGGTCTCACAGCAATTGCATCACGTCGAGCTTGTTGGCGATGGCTCCACTTGCGCGTCGTCTCTCAGTTCGGGTTAAGCCGGCCCATTTTTCAGAGGACAATTGGGTTTGCTACTCGTCCACGGACCGATCCCTACCTCTGCTCAAGGAGAAAATTTCGTTAACCTCCGACGTTTCGGGTCGTTTAGCTTTAGTTGGCCATCTGGTGGAGACTTGTAAAATTAATGACGATACAAAGGCACTGACAGAGGTGTGTCGGTTTTTTCTAAAGCAACACCGAAATGATCACGTATCGATTCGCGTAAAGTTTTTGACATCACTTAAAGATATGTTCGATCTTGCAACATTGGGGAAGGAGCACTGGGTCTATATTGACGAGTTGCTCCAGATCTTCGAGATGAATCACGACTCGTTTCCGTTGGCCGTTGATTTTCTGGTGAAACGCATCCACTATTTACTCCTGAATGAACGACCCATTGACGAGTACTTAATCGAATATACGAGACTGACCGAGGACTGGTGCCTATTCGACTATGACACCAAATTTCAAAAGAAATGCCTGTTACTCATTGGTCGATTGTTGCCTCAGATTTTTGAAACGAGTGTTTTGAAATACAAACAAATTGTTTTTTTGAATAATGTACTCGATTGGAATTCGCGTAACAAAACTGACTCGATTTCGATATTCGACTACCCGGAAGCAATCTCTGCGTTCACTGCTAGCCTCAAATCACGCAGTAATCACCACGCGTTAAGCAAACTGATCGGATACTGCCTAAGCGTGGACTCGACCCGTTCCCTTACCAATCTGTGCTTGCAAGAGTTACGGTCGTGTGACTGGCCAATTTTGTTCCGGTTGCTGCACTTGAAAATTGAATCAGTTGTTGAAAACGTGGAAGCTTTGACTCACTTGACCCTCCACAAGCCAATCTTTGCATTCTGGAGGCACTGTCGCTATTACACCCACTTGGATTTGCCACAAAGAATGGTACAGGTCTGCCGAGACTTGGCAAACGAAGACTCGCATGCGTATACGAAGCGAAACGCGATCGTATGCCTCTCGCATCTGATGCCACCCGACGACTTCCTTAAGGAGCTCAGTAAATACTACCCAACCGACCACAAAGCCGCCCACGACCAGATGGCTCACTATCACAACCAAAGGGCATTCGCCAGTTGTCTAAGAAACGTAGTGCCACGATCGCTCGGTCTACGCCCAGCGTTAGAATTCTGCCAAGGCGACTACTTAAAAATAATCCTTAGCACGCTGTACTCCCTGTCGAGCAATGTCAACGAGCATCGGCTCGTTACCGTGCTCGACGAGCTCTCATCTCGCACCATCTCCGTACGAAAACACGCAATCCACCTCACGATCAGAGCACTCGATCGTTCCGCGACACTTGCGATGTTCCACAAATTTATGGCCAACGAAAGGAACTCGTCGATGCGCAAGTTTCTTTTGAACGGCAGCTTCAATCTCTTCCGCCAAGACGCCGACGATTTAATGTGGACTTTGGTTAAGGCAAACATCGAAGCTGTCAGTCGCGAGGATAAGGAGGTGATCGACATTTTGCTACAATTCCCAAATATTCCACCACGGTACATTGTGGAGTACACCGTCTTCCTTTGGAATTACCTGTGCCATTCTCCGATACAGTCGGAATACGTGGAGAGAAAGCAATGCGAGCTCTTGCGCACTCTGTCGAAAGACGTCATCCAATCGCTACCAAAGGAATTTTGTGACAGTCTCATTCGGAAGTACTTTACGTTATTCTTACGCGAGCAAAGAGCAAAAACGTTAGTTTGTTGCGTGTATAACTTCGCTAGTAGCTACATTATCTACTGTAGCGACCAGTCCGAACAGGAATCCAGAATTAATATGGCCATATCGTATTTGAGGCAGTGTTCTTTCCAAGACGAATCGAAATACTTAATCAATGATTTCCTCAAGAGCGTTTGTGCCGAATTTTTACTCCAAAGATGTTCCCAAATTGGCATTTTGGAAAAGTTCTCTTCCATGTGGGGCGATGCCATGGCCGTCGACCAATACATCTATCTAAAGCTCACCTCGTTATTTGTGGAAAAAGTGCTCGGTTTAAGTGTGAAAGATGTCGGAGGTAGAGTGGCCGAACTGGCTTTTAATTTGTGCGGTAAATACGGCGATTGCATTCTGATTATGATGGGTGATCGTTTGAAAGCGTTCCATTACAATTTCATACGCGAAGGTGATTCAGATATTAATCTGTACGAGCTCATTGGGGGTATTATAGATGGTAGTAAGTCTAGTTCAATTATGATTCTAGCGATCGGCTTGCTTAAACGCAACATTGCCGACACTGCTACTCAATGTAAACACGACGAGATAGTTGGCAAATTAAAAAGGATGTGTGATCCTACAATAAATATTTATTTAAACAGGTACTTGTATGGAACCAATCTGTGATTTTATTGGTGCTAAATATTTGTAATTGCAAATATGTCTTAAATAAAGCTATTTTTACTTTACTAAAACACGTTAATTAGAATTCGTGCATTCACAATTTTTCCTGTTTGAGGAGCGTTGTCTTCTGAGATGGATACGGCTGTGGCCCCACGTTGGGCGCCAAATAAATAATGCTATAGCATTCGATACAAAGGAAAACTCACAATCAATAATTTAGGAGACTCGGTAGCCTTGATCAACTTCCGAAAATTCCCAAGAATCGATTACAAAAATTGTGTTGAACACCTCCTGGACGCAAATAGAAAAATCTGAACATGAGAATTCTACCCAGGTCGTACAATGGATTCAAATAAACACACCATTAATTGATTGACAATGACTACAAAATGTATTCCGAAAAATGAGACCCCTCCACCATCCGCCGTTTTTTTACTAGGTACATACATAATTGTTACGCCCTGTATAGTTAACATAACGGTGGGCAGTAGGCCGATATCGCGGTATGGGCCCAATTAGTTTTTGCACATCGGAAAAACGCGTGAAATAGAAGAAGTATTTATGCCAGGATTTTAGATTACATTAGGATTTTTACTTTTTCTTATATCTATGTACCGTGTGTCCTACTTTAGTTGAGACTGCATCGAAAGTTGGTTTTTTTAATGCAACACTCTGTATATCTTAACGTCAGTTTTGTTGTATTCTTTTTCCTAATTACATTGATGTATGACATCCTATATTTTTTTAAATTTTAAGCCATGAACCAAAAATTAAAATCTTATTTTTACGGTTTTTGAATAGTAGGTCATGGATTCATGGAGATTTTTGTTTAATGTATTCACGGCAGCCGATATCAATCAATAAAAATGGCTGACGGTGGAAACATGTAATTTCAACATTTTGATATAATATAATGTACTTATTTTAAAAATACAGATGCAAATAATTGACGTTAAGATATAGGGTGTTCCATTTAAAAAATACCAACTTTGGGTCAAATCTCAGAAACGGTGGTGCAAAAAATGTTTTTGACTACGCCACTGGATCCTACTTAAAAATATCTAAAAGAAACTGTTTTTACCTTTTTTCTATCTTAGATGGTTAGTAAGATATGATAACATCCCAAAAAGCCAAACTTTTCGTTTTCACCCTGTATCTCAGAAACAAACGTAACTAGATTGGTTCTGTTTGTGAGTTTCACAAAAAAAGGGGGGCTGAGATATACACGGTACAATTTGAAAAACAATTGCTCAAGTAGTTTTTTTTTAAATAAATGTCACATTTTTTTTTAAATATCTAAAAACCATAAAAAATCGAAGTTATAATTGAATTTTATACTTTTGCGATACTGAAAGGTTTTCGAGTTCTAGCTCGAAGTTGTACTTTTTCAAATGAAACGTATAACAATTTCTGTACTGCCGTTTTTGTAAAAAGGCGTGTTCGGTAGTATTAAAAAAAATACTTGTCTCTTTTGGGAAAACACAACTTTGGGCAATATCAGTGCAAAATGGCA